TTATAGATTTCCCAGTAGAAAGCATAATGTAAACAGTTAGTCATCCTGATAATAAGTATAACCTCGTTGAGAGAGGGGAAAACTAGCGAACCGAACCTTACATATGATTGAATTAAAATTATTTTGATAGTTTAACAGAACTGTTGATAAACACACTTTCTCCGTGGATCATCTGAGAAATTCCACTTTCTCCTTACTGGATTTTGTGATTATCAGTTGTCAGCAGGACAATTGAGTGTCTGACCTCTCATACTCGCCATCAAATTTCATTCAATCCGATTTTTTCATTGTCCTTCTTCTCGACCTGGTTTTGACAAGTTTTTTTTCCTTTCTTTCCATGCTTCATCTGTATGAGTCTCTTTTTGATTGATCTCTATAGTCAGTATTGATGATCTCGTCATCTTCTCTCAGCCTCCTGTATCGAGCTTCTAATAGAATCTAGCTCTAAAGCAGCATTATGATCTCAATCTACCTGAAGATTGTGATTTATAAACTAGAAGGAGAATCAAGCAGAAGGAATGGATGAAGACGTACTTAACCGTCCACAAATGGGACAGGCAACATAAAAAGGATAGAAAAACAGTTCTTGTCAGCCACCTGATATAATACCCTGATCCTCCCCCCTGAGCGCTTTCAATTAACGACTTTTCCTTTCTTCGTAATTTACTTCATAGACGCGCGGAGAGGAACACAATCGTCTGTATTCGTCTGAATATGTTTTCAAATACCTTTGTTTCTATTTTATTAGTATTGCCTGCTCTGCTGTCTGCTGAGTTTTTGATAAACAGTAAGTAATCATTTCTAATTCAAATAATCTTTATACGATATCACTACCTAATAAAAACCGCAACATTATCATAAATCTTGAAAATATTTTTATCAGGTTTTCGAGATTACAAGTGTCAGAAGTCAGGTGCTATCGTTGAGTGTCATCTATCGTTTGAAGGAAATGAGGAGTGGGAAGCAGTGAATGATAATGGCTGTTTTAAGGTTTGTTCTTGTAAAATTGACTCATAAACATTCTGTTGACTCTTTATCTTATTTTGACAAGTTCTCTGATTCAGCTTCAATCAGATTACATCTCATCGAAGTTTTTAACAGATGACCTTCCCATGTTGTTTTTTTGATGAATTAATTGAACCGTTAATGAGCTTCTTCAATAACTATCCAATCATGTTTTAGGAATTCAGCACTGTCAGAGGAGAAGTAATTGAGTGGTGTCCTCTTCAATGTCCCGATGCTGAGAACGCATTTGTTGTTGAAAAAGTTCGTTTTTATTTTCATGTCTAGATACTTATATGGCTTCTATCTTTAAGCCATTTGTTAATGGATGTTCAACATCTGAATCTTTCGGAATTGAACAACGAAAAAACGATTGGTTCTTCTGGAGAACTTCACCTTGCGATCAAGAAGAGACAACATTCAAATTAGCTTGCAGATTAAGCTTGAAGTGAGTTTATAATTAAAGCCATAAGAATAGAACAGCCCTCAAGTAGTGATGTAATGAAAGTTTTATGACAGTTTTGATGAAATTCATTTCGAATGCTATCAGGCTATTCCTTTCTCTGATCAAAAATAAATCAGACTGGTTCAAATATGGATGAGTCAAACTGTTAAATTGAAAGAGATTTGAGGCATTTCCATATTCTTAATATGAATAATGAATAGTTTTTGCAAACACTAGAAATGTTTCGAAAAAAAAAGAAAAATGATTGAACGCATACAATGTTTCAGCCAGAAGAGACGTCATCCAAAGTTGTTAAATTTGCAATCATCGGCCGTTAAGAACGACATAGATGCGGAAGAAGAGATGATGACTTCATCAGAAGAAGCTGAAAATGATAAAACTCTGTTGAAACAAGTTGAAACTGATAAGCAGTTGAAGGTTGATGCAGAGGAAGATGTTGAAGATCCTTTAGTTAATGACGTCGATACCTTATTAAGAATCATGTTCCCTTCATATAGAAATAATTGATTCACATTGTAACACTTAATAATCATTTTAATAAATATGAAACAGTAACAACCGTTCCGCAATAACTTGAAATGAGAAATGACAGTTTGAGCTGTTCACTTCTCACGCAAGTTCACGCCTCATTTGCATATGTAATAATGGTGAGCAATGGATTCTTTGATGCACGGAAAAAGAGGAACCATTTCTGAAAATTCAAAAATAATATGAGAAAAAAGAAAGAAACATTTATTGAAAATACTAGATCTATTTGAATTATGACGTCAGGGATTTGCATAATGTTCATGTATACTCGGGAAAATTTGAATCAATCAGGGGATAGTCTTGATGGAGAGAACTGTTATCATAGGATGAGGGAAGGATGAGATGTGAGTCATCTGATTAGATGAATATCATTTTAAGGTAAAGCTCTTTCTTCAAATTTCTTCTGTAGAATGATGTTGCAGAGATATAAGAGGAAGATTATGAACGTGGAGACATTTGAATATTTTATTCAAATACTTCAACCATGTGATATCACATGCTTTGTTTTCCTTAAATGGTAATGATAACACCTATTTCATTCGGCGAAGTAGAATCGAATGAGAATATGAGATGGGCATATCTGATAAGATAACCCAACACACAAAGTTTATAAATAAAATTTATTTTTTATAAACTTTGGCACGAATACTATATGGATGGGATTATACTGTTGCTTTTACATAAGAGAAAGCCCTTAGGACTTGATTAACTGATATACCAGTTCGGCAAAGATTTAGCTTTCATCATCATTTCCCATCTCATTGACAATTTACTTTTGTTTTTTGTCTTCAATACACTTTTCTCTAGTCTGCTAAGTTCTATAAAAGTAATATTTCTCTGATTGTACTTCTGAAGATATGTGGATTAACCTGAATACTGGCACAACCGCTCAACAAGTGCGACTAAGCCCCAAAATGATTTTACTGTTCTTTAAAACTGTTAATTATGCAAATTCTTCTATATTTCTTGTAGTTGGAGTGTGAACTGAATCAAATCGAAACAGTGGAAATGGTAGAGATTATCTGTTAAGGGAGAGAGATGTAGTTTGAGAGAGAGAGAGAGAGAGAGAGTTTGATTCCAAATAACAGAAGGTGCAAGGAACAAGACAGGAAAGAAATTTGAATTTGTCGATTGTTCGTTTCAAAATAGAAAAAAAAGAGAGCAAAAATGAATGAATAAAATGCTTGAGGGAAGCAGAGGGAGGACGAGAGAGCCACATGAACTTTGCTTAAACAGATCACTCGTTTAACTACTTTCTACTCTCTTCTATTTCACATTTTCCAAATTTTACTGTTAACCCGATTCAGCTTATCGTCATCGCATGATGAGATTTGCATAATTTTCTTCAAGGCCTTTAAATAGATGATCATCCACACTTTTCCACAGAACAACCTTCCGACTGACAAACTATGAAAATAACCAATTTTCAACTTTCATAGAATATTATATTTTTCAAATCATCCTCTATCATAGATCCTCTAAGATCCCAAAGATCTTTATTACCATCATCCTCAATTGATTAAACTACAAAAGAACAAAAAATATTATAACCTAAAAAAACAATTGACAAGGCTTTTGATCTTATCTGAGATTATATGTCAGGTCGTTGATCTGTGGTTATCCAAAGATCCATGTCCTGCCCATTTGAGGCTTTGTTTTTTTTATTTTCATACATACAACTTTGACTTATTCTATCTCTAGCCTTATTCCTATCTATATATCTATATACATTCATTTATAAATATACAAATGATCATAATTGTATCCCCCCCCCCCCCCCACCCGCTTCAGTGTACCATGGATCATCTTTCAATCAACATTCCTTTCCGGAGCATCTTTTTTTCTTCTCATTTTCATCTCATCTTACATACTTCTTCTCTTATTAATAATACGTTTTAATATTATTCTAATTTTTCTTAGGGAAAGGCACCGAGCCGAAAGCTCTGCCCCCAGTTTTTATTCCAAAGCTGACTACTGCTGATTCGAGTGATCGTGTAATGAAAAAAGCCCGCAATGTGACTTCCGACGATATTACTGGTGCTGGAGCAGGAAAGACTGCCTCCAACACCTCTCCTGATACCTTTGGAGGCCGACAGGTTTGTTTTTTAAACTATGAACGCAACTTTTGTTTTTAACGAAAACATTTTACAATGCGGAACATTCTAACCTTGTTCCACCCGAGAGAAGAGTAAAGGCATTGCTTTTTTTCTTAATATTACACTTCATAATCCAAAGAGAGTGCACATGAACCCAGCTTTTCACCATAAACTTGCTAAACATGAAAGGAGTGAGAGATATAGAGGAGAATGGAGGTCTTTGCTAAGGTGAAAGATAACCAAAAAACTAGTTGATTCCTGTAACTTATCAGATGACATCATGATGAATGAGAGAGCATGAAGAGAACAAAAATCTTTTTGAGAAAGGTAACATTAGAGAAGATCTTTTATCATCAAACTATAAGGAGACGGAAATAGTAGATGATGTGAAAACTTTCTTTTCCAATCACTTCCATTTTTTCATCTGTTCCATCACATCATCGCTTAGTTTGTGGCTCTATTATCAAATAGCGAATTTCAGATAAAAACTATTGAAAAGAGAGATAGAATATCATTTAATAAGAAGACAAGGAAACAACATTATTATTTTGTAAGAGAAAATTGGCAAAGAAATGTATTTCTCATTACTAATTGGTCAAAATTGGGCGGAACAGATTTGAATGACTCATTCTCATGTCAGTTTAAAGCCTTCTTAAGAAGTCTGCCTCAAGTCATTTGTAGCGAAAATTCTATTGCTAGAACTTCTAAATACTTCAATTCAAACAAACAATTATCTTTAACAAATTGTTTGTCAAGATTGTAAGCTCCAAGAAATACAGTACAACATGATCAGATTGCACACGAAAAACATTTTTTGCGCTCCTTCCTCTTGTGGGGCTCAAAACGTGCTATTAAGATCTCGTTTTCTTGTTGTAATGAATGTCAGAACACAAGTGTCTGAGACCCCCAAATGCAGACATATTTTCAAAAATATCTTCCCGCATTAATATTTTTTAATATTTTTTAATGCCTTCTACGTCTTTTACTTTCTTTTTTTTTCGATATTACTCAATTTTCAACTGTTGCCAGGTTTTGTACCACTAGTTATCTTCCTGTTAAGCTATCTGTTGATCAAGAAAAAATCTTCGTTAAAACAATTTTGCTTAACTCAATTTATGATTCGATCTATATCACTCCATCGTTCCAAATCTCAGGTATAAATGGGATGCGACAAAATAAATAATGAAAATTAGATATAATGTCTTTAATAGATAATTAATGATCTCTCTTCAGGTCTCAGGAAAAGAATTCGGATGCTCGTTAGCACAACTCCGCAGCCTCATGGAGGCACGTGGGGCAGAAGCCATCGTTAGGGTAAGCATACGAGAACTTGAAATTTGAAAAAAAAAGTTGTCTTCAGCTTGCTAATGAACATAATGGTGTAGAGGGTTTGTGCGATAAGCTTCAAGTTGATCCTGTGCAAGGTTTATCAAGCTCTTCCAATAGCTTAGAACGCCGTCGTGCTGCTTTTGGGGCGAACACTATTCCGCCAGCGAAAAGTAAGAGCTTCGCGAGACTTGTGTTTGACGCTTGCCGGGTAAGTGACACCACATTATCCCGTTGCATTAGTTACTGTTTTCTAGGACCCTACCTTGATCATCTTGGTTGTGGCTGGATTTATTAATCTAGCTTTGTCTTTCTATGATCCCGAACATCTGGAAGATAGTCCACCTATCAGTAATGCAACCGATCTGATTGTCAATGCTACTCTCGGTGATTCTTCGTATCAAGGGAAAAGTCTCATAAAAGATTTTCAGCCTTTATCGCTTCTACTACCGAGGCACCAAGTGACGGTCATGGAACTGCCTGGATTGAAGGTGTGGCTATCCTTATTTGTGTGGTTATCGTCGTGCTTGTAACTGCTGTTAATGATTACTCGAAAGAAAGACAATTTCGTAGTCTTCAGGTATATATTTTCAAATTTTTTATATAATTATCCAGTTCTTCTATTTGTTTAGTTTTCTTTATGTTCAAAGAAACATATGTAAACTAATAGATAATATACTGATAACACACGAGAAACGACCGGTTCCCACGGTAGTCATAGTTTAAAGTTGAGCATGATCACGCGTAGTTCACGTGCTTTTTGAACGTGCGACGAGTATTGACTAATCTGTCATTAGTACACGTTGAATTTTTATCGATTACTTAATTAGCATAAACATGACGCTGAAATATGAATTCAAATTTGTGTTGACTTTTCGATACTTCTGTCTGGTTTGAACATATTTTCAATGATTTCAGGAAAAAATTGAAACTGGCCAGAAGTTTTCGGTCATTCGTGATAACGAAGCAAAGGATGTACCAGTATCTGATTTGGTCGTTGGAGATATAATTCGTGTCAAGTATGGAGATCTTCTTCCTGCTGATGGTTTCCTTCTCCAATCCAATGATCTTAAGGTTAGTTTGACTGCGGCTTTTTCTTTTTCATTGAGTAATACATTAGATTGATGAGTCTTCGCTCACTGGTGAGTCCGATCACATCAAAAAAAGTGTCGAAAGCGATCCAGTACTCCTTTCTGGTAAGTTAAATGAATCATGATAATCAAACATCCATGCGCTAGGTACTTATGCTATGGAGGGATCTGGAAAAATGCTCGTCACCGCTGTTGGTGTTAACTCACAAACTGGTATCATCATGATGCTTTTGGGTGCTGGAAAAGCTGGTGCTGGAATTGATGACGATTCCACCTCAAGTAACTGAATAGTTTCATCAATCTTCCTCTAAATATATCTTCAGCGTCTTCTTCTTCATCGTCTTCCAGCTCCTCATCATCCTCGAGCTCATCCTCTGATGGTTCTTCTTCATCTGGAAGTAGCAAGAGTAGCGACGATGATGACGGTTTATCAGCCAAATCTGTGCTGCAATCCAAACTTGCTAAGCTCGCTCTCCAAATTATTTATTGCGGTATGTTCTTGAACTTACTAAATACTTCATAAATTAAAATTTCAGGAACAACAGTTGCTACTGTTGCTCTTATAGTATTAGTGACTCGTTTCTGTATTGAACATTACGTTGTAAATGAAAAACACTTCTCATTCGCTGATATTCAAGTAAGCTTCTTGCTTCATCTCAAAGATCAATCATGAAACTTTCCAGATGTTTGTTAAATTCTTCATTATTGCTGTCACCATATTAGTTATCTCGATTCCTGAAGGATTACCTTTAGCTATCGCACTAGCACTCACATATTCCGTCAGAAAAGTAAGTCGACTGCAATAATATTTTCACAATTGTTATTTCCAGATGATGTTTGATAATAACCTTGTAAGACATCTGGATGCCTGTGAGACAATGGGTAACGCAACTTCTATTTGCTCTGATAAAACTGGTACTCTAACCACGAACAGAATGACAGTTGTGGACTCTTATATCAATGGTATATCCTTTTTGTTTTCTCAAGCTTAAAACTATTGTGTTCAAGGAAATCACTATGAAGGTCAAGTCAATCAGCCTAATGGTTCTGCTCTACCTGGAAACACTGGTGCATTGTTAATGGAAGCACTTGCTATTAACAGGTAAGATCTTTTTTAATTCCTCTATGCAACAAATTCATTTCAGTGCATATAATTCAATGATTGTTGAGCCAACTAAACCTGGAGAAGCGATGCAACAACTCGGAAATAAAACCGAATGTGGTTTGCTCGGCTTTGTCAACAAACTTGGAGGTGACTATGCTGCTATCCGACGTAAATTCCCTGAGGAAGACCTATTCAAAGTATGCATTTTTCATTAGTCATTTTATATTATTTTTGCTTAGGTTTATACTTTCAACTCTTCCCGTAAAAGTATGATGACAGTTATCCGACTGACAGAAAATGGTCGTGATATTGGATATCGTGTTTACCAAAAGGGAGCTAGTGAAATAGTTCTTGGAAGAAGTTCTTACATGATCGGTTCCGATGGAAAAGCTCACATCTTTGGTTCTGACCGCTTGAAAGAAATTAATGCTACCATTATCTCTCACATGGCGAATAATGGTCTACGTACTATTTGCATCGGATATAAAGATTTGATTAGGAAGGATGTCCGTGCTGCAGAACCAACCGAGGTAGTTGAAAGAATGTGCTTAGAAAACTCAATCATCATTTTATAGGTCCAATTTGAAAATGATTCGGACATAGATTGGAGTGATGAAGATACCATGAACAAAAGCTTTGTTGCTATTGCTATCTGCGGTATTCAAGATCCTGTACGTCCTGAAGTACCAGCTGCCATTGAAAAATGTAAAAAAGCTGGAATAACTGTTCGAATGGTGAGGATGAGACAATTATTTGGTTTTTCAAATATGATTACAGGTTACTGGTGATAATATCAACACTGCTCGTGCTATTGCTATGTCCTGTAGAATATTAGAACCAGGCGAGGACTTCTTAGCCATGGAGGGAAAAGAATTCAATGAGAGGTAAGATTATTTCCTTATTGAGCTGAGTAGAGATACTTGTTCAGAATACGGGATGAGAACGGTAAAGTTAGTCAAGCCAAACTTGATGAAATCTGGCCTCGACTGAGAGTACTTGCTCGTGCCCAACCAGCTGATAAATATACTCTTGTGAAAGGTATAATCGACAGCAAGGCAACAGCTCAACGGTAAAATTTACTTTGTTTTTTAACCTTATTTGGTGATTCAGAGAAATCGTTGCTGTCACTGGTGACGGAACGAATGATGGTCCTGCTTTGAAAAAGGCTGATGTTGGATTTGCCATGGTACGCACAAAGATCTTTTATATTCTTATCGTTTTTTTTCAGGGTATCGCTGGAACTGATGTAGCTAAAGAAGCCTCTGATATCATTCTGACTGATGATAACTTCACTTCCATTGTTAAAGTAAATTCCTCAGGCAAATTTCAACCTAATATAACTTCTGCAGGCTGTAATGTGGGGAAGAAATGTATACGACTCCATTTCTAAATTCCTTCAATTCCAATTGACGGTTAACGTAGTAGCTGTCATTACCGCTTTCGTTGGTGCTGTTACTGTCTCTGATTCCCCTCTCAAAGCTGTGCATATGTTATGGATCAATCTCATTATGGACACATTAGCTTCTTTAGCTTTGGCGACTGAGGTTCCTACAGAAGAGCTCCTTAACCGCAAACCATACGGAAGGTGAGGATTTAGCTGTAACTGCATCATAAATTTTATGTTCTAGGAAGAAATCTCTGATCTCACGTACAATGGTAAAAAATATTATGGGTCACGCTATATACCAGATGTTCATTCTGTTCACAATTTTCTACTATGGAGATCGTTTGTTCGGAATCAAATCTGGTTTAAATGCACCACTCTTTGCTCCGCCAACCCAGCATTTCACGCTCGTCTTCAATGCATTTGTCATGATGACGTTGTTCAACGAGATCAACGCCAGAAAAGTTCATGGGGAGCGAAACGTCTTCAAGGTACAAATTGTTTTTTTTCATCAAACGAACGATAGACGAACAGAACGGTTGTTTAACATTTCGAATGTTTTAGGGCTTGGCTAGCAATCGGGTGTTCTGTGTGATCTGGATCTCTACTTTCATTGGACAAATTGTTATAGTTCAATTCGGAGGTGAATGGTTCTCAACTGCTCCGCTCACTTTGACTCAAGTTTGTTACTTTTTCCTCACTATTTTAATCATCTCGGTTTGCAGTGGATTGTCTGTTTGGTACTTGGTTTCTCAGCATTACCTTGGGGACAAGTTATAAACACCATTCCAAGCAAGAAACTTCCCAAAACTTGGAAAGTCGGAAAGGGAGAGGTATGATCATCAATTTAAACGAATCTTACATTTGATTTCTTCACAGATTGCACCATCTAAGATTCATATCAATGGTGACTATAATACACGCGCTCGTTCACGTGCTCTTCAAGTAAGACGGTCTGGTAAATCACTGTGGGTCCGAGGAATGTTCCTATTAGGAAATCATGTAAATTTTTTTTTGTTATGTCGGTTCATGTCTATTGTTCAGCTGAAAGTGTTGCGTGCTTTCCAAACAAGAGATTTATCTAAATTCGGTAAAACAGCCCCAACTATGACTGCAGAGGAAGCCGCCAGATGGAGAGCCAGTTACAGAAAGTACAGACACCAGAAACATCAAGAGAAAAGTACGTTTCTTTTTTTTATTATAGTACAAGTTGTTCATTCCAGAAGCTGCTGCCGAACGGGCTGAAGTAGAGAAACAATTACCTGCTGAAATAAAAGAAAAGAAGAAAACTTTCAAGCAAATCAAAATGAGAGCTCGTGGCCGTTCCGTCGAAAAGAAGGTCCGTTTCAATATTCCATCCGACAATGAGCGCCTCCTGGATCATCCTTCGATTGATTCCATCCATTTTCAGGAGCGTAAACACAGAAAGCATGAGACAAAGATTAACATGGAAGACGGAGAGGGACCCTCTTCCTCTTAAGTTGTCAGTGTTCTATTTGCTGCACACTTCAAGGAAACTGTTTTTCCGACTTCCCCTGCCTGACTATTGGCCCTTCTTATCGATATCTGTTTAGTATATTTTCATTTTTTTTAATTTAAATTCCCTCACTTCGTTTGACACGAGAGCATATGTTTAGGAATATCTCGAATGCTCAATATTTAGCACCCTGCTAAAGATTTTGTTTTTTTAAATGTTCATCTTGTTACATATTTAAGTGACAATGCTTGTAGTTGATTTTACTGACCCACTACTGCTGCTGTTTTTATACTCCATGACCAGAGAGGCTTCATAGCCTAAGGGTAGATAGTCCCAATAACTTCCTTGTATGACATTCCTATTGAAATTCTGAACTACTAACTTGTATCATATTTTCTCTATGAAACAAAACAAGTAGAGTATAAAAGATATTTATTCTCGAATTTTTCTTCTTATTGTTTCCTATAACAAACATAACATATGTATATACTATACGCGACTAGATTTAGGAATTATTATAACAGTGCAACATATAAATGCACTGAGGGGGGAATGGGAAAGTGAAGAATCGCTACCCTATCGAATACGCAAATGCCTGATCAAGTTATTTGAGGGATGTTGAGGAAGAGAATATTATTCTTCGTGTGTTTTCGGTTTACGAAGTAAATTGGTGTCCAATGGATTCACTGCCAGAATTAATAGGCATGCGCAACAACATATCATACCAATACTAGCTAGCATATTGAAGCCATATGCGTCTAAAATGTATCCAGCAAGTCCGGGGGCTAAGGTTCGCACTAGGGAATTGAATGATGTTGATATTCCAAGAATGAGCCCCTATAAAATTGGAATGAGTTACTAAACAGTCCCTCAAGCACCTGTTCTCTCTCTTCAACTAATGCTGTCAACATGCTATCCGAAACAGTAGCTTGTACACTCATCCCCATAGAAAGGAATGGCATAATAAAGTAAAACATAGACAAAGAAGTGAAGAAGTGGAATAAAAAGTATCCAATAAGCTGAAAATCATTAGAATTTGCTATTAAACTGTAGCTCTTACAAAAGAAGATGACCCGATGTAAAGCATTGTATTTTCAGTAAACTTTTTTCGTAGCCAAATAACACCAAACCCGTTGCTGAACATAATAAACACTCCTGCAAAATGAACTTTCATCAATGTGATTATCAATGTAGGGTACCTATAACAAGCTGAAGGAAATGATTGTAATCTTGACTGAGATTGAATTGGTTGATCATATACAGCTAAAGCACTTGATTATTAAGAACTGCTCATGAAATCTCACGTTCATTACTCCGAAGATTAGGAGCGCGGGAATAATGGGGAGATTTTTTTTGATCAGAACATTCATAGTTCCTGGTTTGTTCAGAATGTAGAGCGTGTTCGATATGTTCATGACCATATGTGACTCACTTTCTTTGTTCTCAGATTTCTGAAAATTAAAATCTCTTCGGTCTATTCAGCTAGCCTACCGCTTCATATCGTTCTCTATCAACAAACTTTAGAAGAACAATCATTGGAACGAAACACAACAATGAAGAGACTAAGAATGGCCCTCTATCAGATATGAGCTTCGTGGAAATTATATTAAAGATTGGAGTAAAAATAAAGCCAATTCCTGCAACCAGGTGAATATGTTACTAATCAAGAAGCCTCTTTTTCTCACCAAAAGTTAAGCCCATTCGCCCGAAAGCAGTTGTTCGCTGTTTTCCAGGTTCGGTTAAAGCAGAGAGCAAAGTCTGATGACTTTGCTGACCATGCATGAACAAAGCGGGTAGCCGACTCAGCAACAAAGTTGTTAAATCCTGAAAAAGTTCACTGATCGGTGAGAGCACAGGATTCATCGTGTCTGAACTCACATTCGAAAAAAGTAGAAGCAAACCAGAGACAAAAGTTGAAGAATAACATAGGAGAAGAGAGAACCGTATACCAAATTTCTGAATACAATAGCCGAACAAAGGGCCTCCAATCATTTGAAGAATACCAAACGCAGTTTGGATCATCCCTGAAGCATGTTTGATTCCGGAACGCTTCATGGATTAAGAATATTAACAAGATTTCCACAAAAGTAGAACTCTTAGTATAATTTTCATGAGCTTCAAAATTCATACTTTCGTCATGCGAGAATCAACACATTTTTGTGAAATAGAGACTTACCATTCTCGGCATCTGATACTCCTATTGATTTGATCAAATATGGAGATGCAACAAGTTGCATGAAGAAAACAACATTATAGAGAATAGAAAGGACATAGGTGTATGCAATCGGCTTAGATATCACAGTCGATCTGATTCGGAAGTTATCATCCGCATCCTCGTTTATTGCATTTTTATTGAGCGTCATGGTAGTATACCAAGTCTAACAGTGTATTTCAGAGGAATAAAAACTCGTAAATCGTTTGAACTAAACAATTATTAACAGAGGTTCTCGAAGTAAGCTTTATTTCAAATATTTCCTATCACTTAAATTGTTTCAAAGATAAAACATCATGACCAAACCAGTCTACCCTACCATCTGAAACAATCAATTGCGATTATACTATGTGAGAAAAGTACGCGCCAGCACATAATTTGCGCCCTATTCCATATTTGCGCACAGCTTGAATGCCAAGCTCATGAAGCGCAATTCAAATCGGTTATTCTAGTTTTCATTATTTTGTGACTGTTTGTAGCAACTTAATTCTTTATTCTGATTTTATCTTTTGTAGATATTTAAAGAAAATGAGTGGAGGAATATACGGAGGAGGTTGATTTTGAAAAGTTTTATTTTTTAATTTCTTGATTCTAGATGAAGTCAGTGGTTTGGTGTTCGATGCTGGCTCTCACTCATTTCGAGTTGGATTTGCAGGAGAAGAATACCCAAAGGTTTAAATTTAATATATTCTTGTTATTTCATTTGATTCATGTTAAGGGTGACATTCCTTCTTACGTAGGAGTTCAAGAAATCATTCCTGATGGAGACGTTGAAATGAAAGAGGATGCTGAAGACACTAAAAATGTTAACAAAAAAAACTTTTACATAGGTAGCAATGTTGTTACCATATAAAATTCTCATTTTTTCAATTAGGTACAACCAAACTTATTGTTCCTCGTCCTAACACTACCATTGACAGTTTCATGAAAGATGGAATGAGTTGAGTTTCTAGTCTTTATCCGAGTTCATGTATCATTTTCAGTTGAGAATTGGGAAATGTTCGAACAACTACTTGATTACTCCTATGCGAATGTATTACATACTGAAGCCGTTTATCACCCTGTTCTTTTCACAGAAAGCGCGGTAATGCTTTTGTTTTTCTTTTTTAGTTTCATTTTTTGATTTCTAGTGGAACGAAAAACCAAAAAGAGAACAACTTACTGAACTAATGTTTGAAAAATACAACGTTCCTGCATTTTTCTTGGCAAAAAATGCCGTTTTAACTGTGTAAGTCGAAGTAACGCAATTGTTTTGGACAGTTTGTTGTTAAGGTTTGCCAACGGTCGTACTGGAGGATTGGTAGTAGATAGTGGTGCGACTCAGACTTCAGCTGTTCCTGTATATGATGGATACGCTATAACGAACGGTAATTTTACTCGCATGTACGCTAGAAGTTCGATATGTTCCAGCTGTCGTTCGTTCACCAATCGGAGGAGATGTGATCTGCGAACAGGTGCAGCATCAGCTTGACGATTATAAAATAGATCTCATCCCACAATATAAAGTTGGAAGCAAGGTACTCTACTTTCAATATCTTAGATCTATCTTTCTATGCAATTTCAGGAAGATGTCTCTGAAAACGAAGTTCCTAAATGGCAGTTAAAGAAAAATTTGCCTGAAGTTACTGAGAATTACGACGCTTTCATGAAAAAACAAGTTCTGGAAGACATTGCCGCTACTGCTCTTCAGTTAAGTGATACTCCCATCGATTTGGAATATGCGGAAAAACTGCCATCCGTTCGTTATACCTTCCCAAATGGTTACAATAAGGTTTGAGTAAATTAGGTATTGAAGTAATTGCTTGGATCTAGGATTTCATGGCTGATAGAGTGAAGGTGCCTGAAGGATTATTCGACAAGAATTATTTGAGAACCAAGAATAAGGAAGTTCTAATGAATGTAACACAAATCGCTAGTGCTGCCGCTGGAATGTGTGACATCGATATAAGACCCGTGAGTGTCTTCTTCAATATGGAAGTGAACCAGTTTTGTTTTTAAGATTCTATACAGTGGTCTTATGGTCACAGGAGGAAATTCTTTGATTCTCGGTTTCACTGAAAGACTCAATCATGACTTGGCTCACAAGTGTCCACCCGTAAGTATCACATGCAGAAACTTGTTCACCTTTTTTTTATAACAGACCATCAAGCTAAGAGTTTCCGCCGCTCCTACTCCTGTTGAACGCAGGTTTGGTGCCTGGATAGGAGGATCCATTCTTGGCTCTCTAGTTCGTGATTTGCGTTGTGCTGAAAATATTGTTTTCTTCTTCCAGGGTTCGTTCCAACAAATGTGGATTGGCAAAGCTGAATATGAAGATACTGGAAAAAGCATTGTGGAAAAGAAATGTCCATAAACTGCTTCCGCCGAACCTATAAAAGGATACACGTAAACGCACTTCATCAAAAATGGATCATCATCTCCTTTTTAATTTCTACGGTTCGTAACTTTTTCTTGTTATGTTATTTATTTCTTATGAACGATTAATGTACATTGCGATCTCCTTTTGTTAATCATCGTCTTAACATTATGATAAACTAATTATCCTTATGTTTCTTTTATTCTTTAAACAGTCGTTTTTCTGTTCATCTATCTTTCCATTATCCATCTTTACGAAGGATTTTATCTTTAAAGGAATAGATGGTTCTAGAAAACCAAGAAAACCATGAAGTTATAGTTTTATCTCAGGAAGATCATTCTTTACCTCTCAATCCTAATTATGGTTGGATGCTTGATTTCAAAAACATCAAAAGGCTGCCAGGTTTTGAAATGGTTTAGAGTAGAAGTCTTATTTCCGGTTCTTAGGACCAAGGTTCTCTGATGGTACCATCAACTGGCAATGTCCATGTATGGCTGGAGGCTCATTAGTTGCTCATAGGTCTAGAACAAATATTTAAATGAAGAAAATATTCTTTGCAGATGCGGTCATCAATTTCGCCAGCTTTATATATGCATGTCTGAAAACGATCATGATGATGTGACAGTGAAATGTCCTGATCAGTTTATAAATTGGTCTGCATGTATGCAGAATGTTAGTGGTAAGTAAGAAGAAAGGGAATAGCCGTTTGAACAGTTTTTAGAAAGCAGAAAAACTCAGATGAAAGAGGCTTTAAAGAATGATAATAAAGAATTGTCCATATCCAGGAGATGAAGCTTATTGTTATAAAACTGATTAGCTTATCGTGTGATTCTTATATTTACAAGTATGATGTTTCTTTAAAGATTGTTTAACTCGTTGCTTTGTTAAGGCTTTATGGCGGATAAGAATGTGATTTTTTTTGTGGATAAAGTTTACCATGCAACCGAATTACCCCAAGAGTTTCAAGATATCAAGAAGTTACCCCCTGTTGAGAGTACTTCATAAGCGTCTACCATCACTAATTTTCCATTCAGGTTCGATTTATGACGATGGAAGAATTAATATTGAATGCCCGTGTTTGCACTCGCCATTAGCTCATCGCTGTGGTCATTTGCTCCGAGAAGCCGTACAGTATTTATACAGTTTAATATGTAAAATATCAAATTCTTTTAGATGTACTAACTCTTCAAAAACCAATCCTAGAGGAACTGATTGTGTTGACCACTTTATAGAATATGATTTATGTTTGAGATCTTTCGATAAGTAAAGCATAAATATTTTTTCTACTTGTTCTTGCTTTGTGTTAACTCACTTATCATACCTGTTTTTCAATTTGGTTGTTATGATTAATTCTTTGTTCAGGGTTTCTTATGGATATCGGTGAAAGTCAAAATTAAAAATGCCAAGCTTCTCTTTGGTTCTAGCTTTCAAAGGCTTTAATGCGTCGTAAGCTCTCAAGCAATACTGTTACTGAACTATTCAATTTCAGCAAGTTTATTTTGTACTTGTCCCTTCTTATCTTTGTGGTTCAACTATCCCTGAAACTTGATGAGAAACTTATTGTAAATTATGCCATAGTATTTTTGCCATTATGGATTTGCCATTTTATTGTCTTTATGGGTGCTTTCACAGGAATTACTTCATATGTGCGGAAGCCACCGTCCAGGTTTTGTTTAATTTTTGTCTCATTTTGAACTCTTCTTATAGTAACGATAGCGTCATGCAGAATGAATTTGTTTCGATGATCCTCACTACCATTGAACACATGTTTCTGTTATGCTTTGAAATTTTAGTTTATTATAAGGTATTCATTCTATAATTGACTTCAATCATATGACTATAGTTGGAACACGATAACGTCGAGCCTAAAGATGCCCTAATTCATTGGTCCATTGTTTTTGCTCCCGTTTTTGGCTTATCTGTCTTCACCTTAATCGTTGCTGTTTGGGCTATGAAACACGAAAAGTCTTTTGAGGTAATGCTAGTGATGTCGTGTTTAGTTTTTCATTGTATTATAGTTCGAGTTCTTTTACGCTGTTAATGTCATTGAGTTCTTCTTTATTTCTTTCAAATTGGACCAACAGGTAGCTTGTGTAGCGTTTCAAATACTATGTGCCTCGTTTTCTAGGTAAACTGGTCCTGGGCAGTTGTTTTCATTCCTCTTTGGATAGTCTTATCGCTCTGCGCTGTGGGTGTGTTATATTCGATGGTGCTAACCATAGTGATTTCAAGATCACGGAACTTCGCTCATTCGTATAGAAGGTATTCATAGTGTTTCTATATAAAAAATGTTACTATTTTCTCAGACAAAGCTGCTATTCTGCCGTTCTTCACATTTTCCTTGTTCTTCCTGCTTTAACATGTCTCATTCTACTCACAGGAAAATTGGACTCAATGCAATGGGCTGACAAAGAAGCGGCGCTAAATATGTCGTATTGCGTTAGTTAAAGTATTTATTTCCTTTTTTTAAAGATTATCTGTTTACAGATGGCACTTTGTCCCTTGTGGTTCTCTTTACTGTGCCTCATGCTTTTGTGTTTCGGCAATGACGGCGGCAACGTTTGGTGGTTCGCTCTCAGAAGACCTTTCTGTGTTTTCCTCCTAGACTCATGCCCTTGTTTACGGCAGTTAGCTAACACAAGCTATAAAGTTAGGAAATCATACCTTATCTGCTAAAAGTTTCATTTAGTTTGGAGCTGGGGAGAATGCGGATAATGAAGATGAGTCTGAAACAATTGGAAGAGAAGATCCTGAAAGACCCCTTAGACCCATTGTTCCCCTGACTAGTATAGAATGTCCAGATTAGTTTTTTTTTCGATTATATTTGTTTTACTTCTATGTTTATTATAATGTTCAACCTTTAACGTCACGAGTAGAATGTCTTAGTCAAGCTTCTTTATCCCAACTGATCTCGGGTCTTTGTATAATTAATATTTGGTTTTTCATGCAATGTATCTCATCGTGCTTTTCCTTCCTTGATTTGGAAACAATGTCATCGACATACAATTACTTCTTTAATTTGATATATCTATTTCACCAGTACTTCTAGTTGTAATGTGTAAGCTGTAAGTGATGCTGACATTTTATGACATAATTGGGACAAACGAAAACAGTTCCGTTGAAGATATCAAAAAAGCTTATTTCAACTACCTGCGCAAGGTTTGCTCTTCCAACTAACTTATTTCCGAATTTGTACTTAGATACATCCTGATAAAGGGCAGGCTGAGTGTGATCCTACTGCTGTAACTCAGGCTACGCTTATTTGGAATACACTGAAAGTGGGTGTCGCAACATTCGTTTGATTCCTATTCAATTATTCAGGACTGTAAACGTCGGAAAGAGTACGATTATTGGCTTATAGAGCAACGCCTCCGAGAACAGAAAGGAACAGTGTCGGAGCAGATTGAAATTGACAGAGACATCACGGAACTAGGTAGCGTAGTGAAGTAATATCAGTAGAAAGTGTAATTATCTTTCAAGAAGAGTACTGTCGTTGTGGTGATTCGTTTCTCATTTCTCCCGCGGATATTCAGCAGATTATTGACACTGCCTTGTTTGAGTGTGGTTCTTGCTCTCTTTGTTTGGAAGTAAAGAGGATTTCGGTTTCTGGTCAGAATACGGCTTGTTTTATTGTTTAAATTCAGGAAGAATGAGTTCCTCAACTAAAATTGTGATTTTGGGTGAAAGTGAAGTAGGAAAAACATCATTCGTGAATGCAGTTGCTGGGAAGTATGTGACTCAATTGACCATCTTCTAATAAATTTTTCGAAGACCAGGACAAGGCTTCCCTAGTACGATCGGAGTCTCAATATGCATGGCTTGGCATGAATATCGAGCAGGTAGTGAATTTTTCTGACAAAATTCATCATCTGTCATCTCCAGGAACCGCAGAACAAAGGTCGGAACTAATGGAACTGTGGGATATAGGAGGAACGTTAGCGCATCGGAGCGCCTCACAAGTTCTTCTGGATGGGGCTGCTGGAGCTATTCTCGTGCATGACTTGAGTAATAAAAAAAGTGAAGAGGTGAAACTAAAACCAGAAGCTCTAGATAATCAGTATCAATTTTCAGAATCTTGGACAATGGATGTCATTGTTGGATGGTAAACCTAGACCTGCTGGCTCAACAAGAAGTATAACTGCTGATATAGAATCTTCACATATCCCTATTTTGATTGTTGGTTGCAAATCAGACTTGGCGCCACTTCGCGGTCCCATAGCGTACGATCGGTAATCTTTCAGTTTTTTCGCTGAAATAATAATTTTTTCAGTGTCAATGTGGACTGTAGGAAGCAGATCCCTCCTGGTTCTTCTACCTCTATGGCTCTTGCCAGGTTCTTTGACGCTACAATAGATAGAACAAAAGCTCCAAGCAACGAGAGACGTAGGCGTATTGGTAATCAGTTCCAATAAAGTTTTATGAATTATGTCTTCGCAAATATATTTTCGGGTGAAAACAACGCAAGCAACTAATGAGTTCGGTTAAATATTCACTGCTAACTGAAAAATGACGTTTTCAAATAAAAAACGAGTTGGTTCATTTTCTGGTAAGCATAGTAGTGACCGGTGGTATGCGGTGGCTAATCAGATTAGTTTGAAGGAATGCAGGTTATAGCCACCACTGTGCTTTTAGCATCTGATGTGTGATAATCAACAAGTAACTTATAAAACATGTCAGATAGAGGTACTACTTGAAGTTTTTCAAGACCGGGAATATATGAAGCCATAATAAAATGATTACATTCATTTCTTATCTGATGGATACTTTCCTTGACTGAACTATGTGGCAACCTGATAGAAGCTGATGTCAATTTTGAGCTCAACACCTTCTATTGAACTAACAGTTTCACTCCTCTATGCGAAAGTTCATAACACTTCTCTTCATCAATGCATAGTGCTTATGAAGCAATAAGTCCATTCTATAGATTATGCTTTAAAGTTCCACAGCAAGCCATGTGCTACAATTCCTTATCTTTTATGCTTTACGTCCAAAATGCGCATGCTCTTTCTTAACTACTACTTTTATGTAAATGTCTAGAGAAATATTTGAGATAGTATTTTAAGTAATTTACCAACTACCCCCACCATGAGTGCCGAAAAGACAGGCTTCGCGAGATATGCACCAATTCTCATTTTCACCACCATCAATTTATTGAACTACATGGATCGTTACACAGTTGCCGGTAAGCTGAATCTTTTATTTTAAATTTTTTTAAATAAAATATAACTTACAGGAGTACTCGATCAAATTCAAGCTTATTACAACATCGATGATGCGATGGGAGGTTTTATCCAAACTATATTCATGGCTTTTTACATTGTGTTTTCACCCACAGCTGGCTTTCTGGGAGATAGGTGTGCTTGTCTGACCTGCTGCCTATATCTCAAAATGAACTTTCAGGTACAATAGAAAATGGATCATGGTAGTTGGTATAAGTCTTTGGGTCGTTATTGTACTCGCGTCATCCTTCATTCCATCCAACGTACGATCAACATGAAAACTTTCAACTTATCTCATATCTAAAGTTGTTCCCAGTTTTTCTCATCCTGCGAGGAATGGTCGGGGTAGGAGAAGCCTCTTACGCTATAATTTGTCCATCTGTGATTGCCGATATGTACACGGGTATCTCTAGGAGTCGTATGCTCATGGTTTTCTATTTCGCTACGCCTGTAGGAAGGTAAACTTTGATTGAAATCTCGCCAGAAATATTTTGACAGTGGTCTCGGCTTCATTGTCGGATCTAGCGTAAGTAGTTGGTTAGGATGCTGGAAGTGGGGTATCCGAGTCACTTGTATTTTCGGTAACTCATCTTTTCGAACTTCGTATACACAGCTAACTTTCAGGAGTGATTTGTATTTTGCTCATCATTTTATTTGTTGAAGAACCTGAAAGAGGTGCCGCTGAGAGAGAGATTGGTCATATCACAGCCGAAGTTAAGAATTCAAATTATCTGAAAGATCTGTGGGAACTGTGCAAAAAGTGAAGCTTCTTCTGTTTTTTACACATTTTACAAATATCATATACAGTCCAACATACATGACTTCTTCCTTCGGCTATACGGCTTTGGTCTTCGGAGTAGGAACGCTGTCATGGTGGATGCCAACAGCTATCGAGCGAAAAGATGCTTGGAAAAGAGGGTTAAACTCTACCGTCTACTTGCCAACAGATACAACAAATGGGTGAGTCTGTAAAAGAAGAAGCGCTCTAAAAAACATTTGAAGAATTAATTTGTACTTCGGAATGATAACTTTGGCAGCCGGATTATTAGGAGTTATCGCTGGGACAATGATTTCGAATGTAAGTAACTTTAAAGTTTGAATGATTACACTTCTTGAACTATATCGGGTGAACATCAACGCATTTTCTGATGAAAACTTTTTAGCTCATGTCTAACGGTGTTAATCTCGGATGCTGTTACCTAAAAACAAAAAGATCGGACGCAATAATATGTTGTGTTGGCGCAATCATTGGTATTCCTACCATGCTTGTTGGAATTTGGGCTATCGCCGACCATATGGCTATTTCTTGGGTACCTTTTTTCGCTGAAATAAAACTTCTTATAATCCCACAGGCCATGATATTCATATGCTGCACAGCCCTGAGTTTCAATTGGTCGACAAACGTCGACATGCTAATGGTAATGAGAATTGAGTAGAAAATCGGAGCTCTTACGCTGATTTCAGTCTGTTGTCATCCCATCCAGAAGAAACACGGCAAACGCTTTCCAAATTTTGTTGTCGCATTTACTTGGAGATGGTTCGGGTCCATATATTCTGGGAGCTGTAAGTCGGTTAGTATAAACGAGTCATGAAAGCCTTTCAGATATCTGATGCATTACAAGGGAATGATAAAAGCATGAAATCTCAATTTCAATCTTTACAAAAATCATTTTATTTGGCCGATGTCGTATTAGTATTAGGAGCAGTCCTATATGCAGTATCAGCCTTCACTGTAGTAGCGGACCAGAAGAAATTTGAAGAAGAAATGGGTACGTATTAGAACGGTTTAAATTGAAATTATCCGGATTTTTAGGAACGCTGACTTCAGCAGCTATAAACGAAGGATATGATGACGAAGAAAAGAAAAGAGAACTGAGCATTTATGAAGACGAAAACAGGAACATGAGCATGTATGATGAAACACCTGAAACTGTAGAACCGATCAATATCATTGAAAGATTTTAGCTTCATGTAAGAAACATCAATAAATGAAAGTAAGGATACTTCAAAAACAAAACTTGTAGACAAACTATCAAAACTATATGACCATTCTGGTTCTTCTTTTAAAGGGCATATTTCAATAGAAAATACATCGTGTACGGTGGAAAGGAACCTTAAAGCAACCCGTGTCTCCGAACTTCTGCATTAACTGACCTTATCCTCTACCTCCTTTGCATGTTGTCTGCGATAAACCCACACGAACATATCAACCAATGCAGCATTCACTTCTTTACCATTATCGGTTCCACTTTGTTTTAGTCTTCTAATTTCTTCCACAATCAACTGTGAGAGAATAATTCCATTAGAATATTTTTAACCAAAAATTACCTCGCAAGCCCATATAGAAAAACCACGGAGCTCTACTTCCTCAGCACTTCCATTATCAAGACGTTTGCCTTCACCTAAACGGTCCAGCAATTTCTGGCTATACTCTAATGCTCCAAGAAAAGCCAAAGCTTGAGGAACACGATAATCTGCGAACATTGTCAAGGTTCTGAACAGAATGGAGAATATGAAAGTAAATTCTTTTTCGAATACCCCAAATCTGGAAACTCTCCGATAGTATCTACACCTTTAAGAGCTCCGGCAACATCAGCGATCAAAATCTGTGCACGTTTCAGAATGGCAACTAAAAAATATTCCTTTCCAAGAACATTATACTAACTATACCTTTTTGACCGTTGTACTCAGCGATATCTCGGAAAGATTTGAAGTTTTCGACAATGATCCGCAGAAGAGATTGAGCACTGCCTCCTGCAGCTTTCACACAGTTGTAGAACGATCCTTGCCATTTCTATAAGCTTCCGGTTAAACAGATAAGCTTATAAGAAACACCTCTAATAGCACTAGTCCAGAATCATTTATTGCTCCAACGCGCTCGTTCAGAAGTGGAATATCATGTCCTGTAATATAGGATGACGAGTTCGAATAATATAACCAGTAAAACCCGAGTCAGCTTTGAAAATTTTTTGGATTTCTTCTTTGGTAGCCTTGGCCATCCATTCAGCCGATGTCACAGGGATCCCAGCATCAAGAGCCTTTGCAGAGAATGCGTAAAGGGGGAAGCTACATTCAAAATACCTTATTTATGGCCGCACATGATGCAAAGTAACCCGTATAGGATTTTCCATTGTAAGTAACATCGTACTTTTTACCCTCATCTGGCCAGAAAGAGAAGTTAATCGAATCACTGAGGAAAACCCTACATTATTGAGAAATTAAAGAATGTCGAAGCGAGAGTAATACCAGTCAACAGCTTTCAAGCCCCCGTCTTTGGGGTGCAAACAATGAGCTGCAAATTCCACCTCTTCGATAGTATTTTGTAAATCTGCTTCATAAATCTTAAAATCAATAAATTTTTTATTATTCTGCTGCAAATGCTCACCAGTTTTGCAACATTTTTTATTCCTTCGGTGTTGATCTTAATAAGGCTGCCATTTTCTACAATGAATTTGGCGCCAAGCGCTGGTGGAAGCACGCCGTCCATTCTGTTGAACCAAACCCTAGAACTGACATAATTTTTATTTTATCAATAGAACTCTTATCAATGTGATATATGGTCTTCCTTAAGTACTTTCAACGACATCAAGTTGATAAGGTTGTTCTTTCAATTCGTGAAATTCATCAGAAACTAATATCGAAAGATAAAGAGATTTTTAGAATCTTCGAATATAAAAAATTTGGGAAAAATTCAAAACATTACAAAGTTCATCATTTATTCTGATAAAACTACGGAACATTTCTCACAGTACATTGTCATACAAACAAATAAACATATGATATACATGATATGATAGCGGTGCGTTTCGCAATGAACACCTACATGGAAAACTGTCGCAGTGACCTATCCACTATTTGAAAATTTTCCCTCCAGATATATGTTTCCATAATCTTGCTACATGAGAATGGAACTTGAAAATTTTTTGTTCATAAAGCTGTCACTATCTATAAAGAATTAGAAACAAATGTCTCTCTCTGGCAGATTCAAGTAAGCTTTTCTGAAATACTAAATGTACAACAAATCAATCGATCATCCAAACAGTTTCCCTAAACTGTGAACAGTAGGTCCTCCCATGTATGGATATGAACTTCATTTGCATGGACTATGAATCAATGAATGTTGTCTGAACGTAGGAGTTAGATCATTTAGAGAACATATGCGGGGGGGGAGGAGTGGATCTCCTCAGCTGTTCGTCCTAGAGATTTGTTGTAACAGAAACAGACATCAACGCCTACTCTTAGTTTGCTTCACTTACTACTCCTAAGCAGTTTGATGTGGTTTTGTACTGCTCTGTCTGCTTCTAAACTTTTATGTGTCTAATTTATTCTTTTCTAGATTATGTCTGACGTTGCAGCCGCCTTCGCTCAACATGAAGTAACTCCCAACGTTATTCCAAACCCACCAAAAGAACAGCTTCATGTACTATAATAACAAGATAAAGGGCAACATCTCATAATCACTCTTACAGCTGGTATGGGATGGTATCCAAGTTCAACCAGGAATGACCTTATCCATTAGGAACACCAAGAATGCTCCACGTTTCAATCTCAAAGGAGCTGACCCTGAAGCAACTTATTCACTACTGATGATTGGTGAGTTACTTGCAATGCTTATTGTCTTAAAGCAAGACAGATTAAAAATGACCTCATTACACTTTGCTCTAGTGTAATGACCACAAAACATTGAAAATAACACTTAACAAGTTTCAATTAAGACCCCGATAACCTATCCCGTAAGAATCCAAGCGTAGCTGAATGGCTTCACTGGCTTGTGGTTAATATTCCTGCAAGTAACGTAATCGAGGGAATCAACGGAGGTTTGTCTCTTAGTTCTAGGTGTTCTTCAACTGATGTTTAGGACAACATCAGATGCCTTATGGATCTCCTGCTCCTGGACCAAGAACTGACCTTCACAGATATGTCATTCTTATGTGGGAGCATGCTGGAAGGTTAGTCTTTCACGCTGTTGATCGTTTTATCAACAGATTACAGAAGAATTAATGTACAAAAACCATCAAGCCGCGCAAAATTCAATGTTAAGAAGTTCATGGAACAAAACAAGCTTGGTATGTTGTTCAAGATAACACATGTAATTCGAGTAATTCAGGTGATCCCATTGCTGGCAATCTTTTCCTTGCTCAGCATGAATAAGATACATACTCTTGAACAGTTAGACATCAAAGCAAAGGCTTCTCTTATTAATAATTTATAACCCGTAATATACTGTTCTCATAACATCATATGTTCAAGCACATGAGTGTAATAAAGACTGACTAGCATATCATACTATTGACCAGCATTGCTCAAGGCTCTAATACAGTAGCCATGTTTTCGTTACCAAGTTGTGTGGTTTTACAATTAGATCCGCAAGTTGTAGCTGCTGAGATATAGCTCTGATAAAAATAAAAATGTTGGTGACCGCTAGATTCAATAGGATACCTGGAGGGTGTTTTCAGTGTGTTGAGCAACATATCGAATGAAAGGACGGAGATCTCCTAGATTTGCTGTACCGAGTACAGAGTAGTATTTAGCTCTACTCTCCACGGGTAGAATAACGGGTGGAAATCCTGAACGCATCAGAATTAAGTTCAATAATAGCCTAGCAGTTCTGCCATTTCCATCAACGAACGGGTGGATTAAAACCTTGAAAAGAGATGAGATAAAGTATGAACTTTAAACAATCTTTACCAATTTATAATGAGCTATAGCTGCTTTTTCAACAGGGTCCATGTCATCCAGCTCTTGGGAGTTTAACCAGTCTACAAACTCCTGCATCTGATACGGAACATACTCAGGAGCTACAGGCGTGAACCGCCCAACGTGTACCTGTACCATGCTTTCAATCAGAAAACAAAGCTTCGCGTACTTACCTGTGTATCACGTAAACGTCCAGCAATTTCTGGTTGAGAATGTCCAACTACTCGCCTGTGCATCTCCAATATATCCTAAGAGAGTTGAACTGAGAAAAAATTGATAGAAACAAAATTACATCTAGAGATAGATCAGAAGATGAAAGAAGAGTTCTATTAAGAAAACGGAGTGCAGAATCCATGCCAAGAACTTCATTATGCTCTCGGATACTTTTCCCCTCTACAGCCATTTCCGTTTCCAGAATAGATCTAAAACATAATCAGCACACGGAATGAAGGACAGATATACCTTGTTTGTCCTAAGCTTAACGTATTTCCTTCAATTGCTACTGTATGATACACGTGCAAAAAATAGCTTTCTCGCATAGCTCTTCTTAGAGATGGCGAATGAGAGAGTTCATTGAACTCATCTAATATACTTCTTATTTTTTCCAACATTTTTCTGTCTTTCATTGATACAACAGGTAAAGTAAACCTTCTTCTTCTATACAAAGAGTCATTCGAAGTAACAGAAAAAGCTTCGACTCACTCGATAGCTCCCTGATGAGCAGGATCATATGCCAAAGCCTTCGCATAACAATAATCTGCTTCGATAATATTGTCTTGCTGTTCGTGAACAACGCCATATTCAGTCAGGATATCGGGATGCACCGGAGCCAAAGCTAGCGCGTGTTCGATGATAACTCGAGCCTAGGAACAGTGAAAATAAAGAAAGAGTATAAGTTAAAACTTTTTCGATATGTCCTTTTTCACGAAATGATCGAGCAGCAGATAGGGCCGCTAGCGCTTCTTTCACAGTTGTTGGACTACTCCGCTCGCTTTCTTCGGGTCTAGCCACAAGTTCTCCAGGTTCCTTAAACAGCAGGGATCAGAATAAGCTGAAAACATAACGGTAGTACCTTCCAAGGTTTGAGAGGGAACGGATCTTCTAAAAAAAGAGCAGCTTTACTTTGAGCTCTTTCAGTAACAGCTCTGCCGGGACTGGCTTGTCGTGGGCATACTGAGTTGAAAAAGCGCCATTCATCAGTGATGAGACTGCAGGTTTGATTTCGTAGAACATTCAAAAATGGTATGAACGCTAACTGAACAGAACAAAAATATTTCCAATAGAAAGATGTCGGTAAGAACCTGTACGAAAACAGTAGCGACTATGCAGAGAAAAAAGGTTCTCAGTGTTGTTCTATTACCCTCCACATTTGATTGTTGTTCAGTATTCAATTTTTGTAAGACTACATCTTTCTTTTTAACCATTTGATACGGCTGCTCATGGATGTGTTCCGAACTAAGAAAAACTTTTCAAAAGTTGAAAATGATACAAAAGGATTTATAAATTATAACCCTGCACACTAGGCAGTTCCAAAAGATTTGTTCCTTTTGGTGAGAAAGCATTCTATCAAGTACATGACGCATTACTTTTATTGTCTGACTCTGACTATTATTATTGGAGCAGGCTTCCAGCTGTTGTTTATACAGAAAATATCCAGTCTTTAACTTTCATAGGCCGCATAGTCAAATATTGTTGGGTAACACCAATACAAAGCAAGCACGACCGCTGATTGTATCTTGTGAAACAAAAATGATTCTGATGAACGAGACTATCATCAATCATGATGAGACTGTACGTATGGAAATCACAACAATTGACTACTGTTGAGCGACAGGAGTGATTTCGGCCTAATGAAGAAATGAACGAAAACTCACTTCTGTAGAAAATTATGTGTAAATGAAAATCTTTTCTTTACTTGTTTCTGTTTGCGACAACAACGCCTCCCCTCCCTTTCTCCAAGAAAAAATTGATTCAACAAAGAGTGGAATTGGATAAATTCATGCACAAGGCAAATCTCAAGATCTGATCAACAAAAATTCCAAACAATTGGTTAAATAAACGATAACCACAGTATCAAAAGATTCAGTAAACAGAAGGGAAAAACCGTAAAAAACTGAGGTACGCTAGCATGAAAAAGATAATTAGATAGCTTTTTCAGCTAATCTCCAAAGACCGTCATTCAGGTAGTGGATGTTTTCTATGCCGATTCCTTTGTTGACTTTTTGTATGTCCTCAGATGTCATCTTCATTTGGCCTATGGCTAAAGCATGTTGTTTACCCTGCAAATGACGAATTTACAAAAGCATTTCTTCGCAAATCTACTTCTGCCATAACTGCTACTAAGCCATCAACTCCTACGCCGGGAGTCAATTTGGCTCCGGGAGAAGTTAGTCCAGGACACATGATGGAAGATCCATTCATTACAAACTTGATGGCTCCTTTATCCACCTAAAAAGCTCTTGGCTGAGAGTCAAAAGTGTAAGATTACTTGTTGATGTGGAAGAATGAATGGATACTTATGAAGAGTCCGCAAAGTGGGGAAAAAATCAGTGTTTCTTGTTTTGATGAATCGCACTACTCCTGTATGATCAGCGAGCAACTCAACGTGATCCTTGCATTTGATCAGTTTGAAATTTTCCTAGAGTCAAATCATACATAATTATTTAAAATCTAACACACTGCATACCTTTTTGGGCAGAATATCGGACAAGAAAGGCTCTATGTGTGGAAAGTTCTCAAGAATTTTATTTCTAATTGCTTTCTATAAACGAGCATTAAATCAGTGCTACGACTAAAAAATGTAAAGCACCTGCATCGAGGTTTTCAACTGAGTGGTCCCCGTTATATCTTCCTTTTCTTCGAACTTTTTGAACGACATCTGAAGTAGAAACTGAATGCAAATGCTATTTTTCATTTGATGCGATAAAGAAAAGTAAAAACACTTCTACGGAAGAGTCAAGAACAAGAAAAAGTTCGATATTTTATTAAGCATCAAATAATACAACATCAGAAATCGAGAATTAATACAAAAAATATATAATTGCCAGTTGTACGTTATCTTCAAAAACCAAACGAGCTACCTTAACATCCAACGCAGCATTCATATCGATTTAATCACTGACGGCTTTAATGGTTCACGCAGTTTAAGTTCCTCTTGAATTATTTATGGTGGACTTTATGCGAGTTTACGAAGAGCACATGTTTGAATAACAATTAGAGTGATCAGTCCGGTATTGGTTGTCTTAGCTGTACTTTTTTACGGTAATAACGTAAATTGTCTTGTACGTGTCTTCGCGTGTGATTAAAAATATGTACGCATCAGCTGATTTTCTCGTGGTCCCACCACGAACCTCCGTCATGAGGAGTTTTCGGTCACATGGGAAGCGTTTACTGCTGAGGCGCAGGCATATTGGTGTGGTTGCCGAGCTTTATTCACTAAACCATCATTATCTTTTAACCAATTTTAATTCTGATGCTCAGCGCATTAACGAGGCCTACAAAGATGTCTCTCTCTTCTGGAAATATACCTTCTTTCAAGGAACGTAGACCATTTGGTAAGTATTATGAAATTTTGTGCTCAATTAATACTCAGTACTTCCCTAAAGTTCATGTTAACATTTGACTATTTATACCTTTTAGTTGCCCGGCAGAAAGATGTTGAAGAAATCCGTCGGCAGCAACCAAATAAGGTTCCTGTTATTATTGAAAGATTCGATGGTGAACGTTCATTGCCTCTGATGGATCGATGCAAATTCTTAGTTCCCGAACACATAACTGTTGCGGAATTGATGCACATTGTACGAAGAAGGTGATAACATTTTTCTCGAGTTTTGTTAGTCATCAATTGCAGATTACAACTCCATCCTGAACAAGCTTTTTTCCTTATGGTTAACGAAAAGTCTGTAGTTTCAAATTCTATGTCGATGTCACAGCTTTATCAAACTGATGCTGATGCCGATGGTTTTCTTTATGTGGTATACACAAGCCAACCTGCCTTTGGATTTTAGACTAACCTCAGGTTTTTCATTTGTTCAAGCCGTTACTTCTTTCATGTACCTCATGTAAATCTTTTGTAAATAGTCGATGAATCTAGCCTTTTTTTTGTATTGTCCAAGACACTTCATGTTATTTCTTTCTTGTATAAAAATGTACATATATACCAAGAGCCTTTACTCTGATTTTAAAATAATTTAAAAATTGAACAATGATGAGAAACAAGGAAGAGAACCGTGATTTTACATTTAAACTATTCCTCGGCATTAGCAAAAGGATTATCAATTTGTTCCATGCCGTCAGAAGGTGCCACCACTGTAACTGCTGTGCCTCTGGCCACGATAAGTCCAAGAGACCTATTGCAAAAAAACTGGTTTTTCAATATTATTCTTAATGATACCTTGTTTCCTCGCTCACACAACTTGGATTTTCAGGGTCTCTCAAATACTCGTTGGTATCATCAAGTACAAGGTTCAAGAGAGCATCGTATCCTTTCAAAATCCCAGCAGCTGAAAAAAGTCCACATAATCATCCTGTTCTTATTGAAGGTCGGGTTGTAAAGAAAAATTTTGGAGGTAAACGAAAGCAGGAAATTTCTGTTTTGCTTCAAGAGGAAAAATCATCAATCAAATAAGCATTAGAAAACATAAATGAGGGTGTTGCTATGAAAAGAGGATCAATGGCTGATGCTTACAAGAAACAGAAATATCAACAAAAAAAAGTGAAAACCTTCTCTTCCTCCTTGGAATTTGACTCTGACCCGTTTATCTATGAATCTCGATAAATCTACAATAGATTTCTTGCGCTGTCCATCATCTTTCTGAATACAATAAGCTCATTAATTAAAATTTCATTTTTTTCCTACCTGTTGCTGACCAGACATCTTAAATAGAACTAAGTAAAGAAAGCACAGTGGCCAATAGTTTAATAAACTTAATATTGGTTATATTCGAAAATTTGAATCTGCGCCATTAAAGGTCTGCTCCAGCCCAAGCCACCGTAAGATGCGTGAGTACGAATAGAGCGTATGATATGGAGAAGCGCAGACAAAGTGGCCTCTGACGACTGGCATCCGGATATAAACTTCTATTATCATCTGATTCGCTTTAACGATTCTATCTGAAGTTTTGCATATTCTTTTTCTATGCTTCCTTTAGACATATAGCTTTAGACTCGATTCTCCTACGTATCGTTTCATCTAATCGATCAATTTCTACTAACTGTAATAGCAAGACCTCGGTTTCAAGATATCGATTTGCTTTCAGAATTGCAGAATGCTTTAAGCCTTCACAGGCGTAGTGTCACAAAAATGACCAGTTCCACTTCATATGCCAAAAAAAAATTCTCAAAAGTATCCAATGCTCCTGTATACATGCCTACATGTGAAGAATTCAAAGATCCTATACGCTATGTAACACAAATTAGGCCAGAAGCTGAAAAATACGGAATAATCAGAATAATTCCACCCCCGGTATAACAGATACTGTAAAAACAAATTATATAGCTTTCTTAGAATTTTGACCCTCCTTTTTGCGTTAAGCCTAAAAAGTTCAAGTTCACCCCCAGGATTCAACGTTTACACGAAGTGGATGCTCTTGCTAGAGAAAAATTGGTAATTGAGATAAATTTTGAGAGCAAATGCTGATCAAAGAAATTGTTTTAGTTTTTCAAAGCTCAAATAGTTCGTTTCTGGGAATATCAAGGATTCGCATATGAGCCTCTCCAATTCGATAATCGAGTTGTTGATGAGTTCGAGCTTCAAGAAGTTTGTGTTCCATAATAGCTGATTACTTAACTTTCTTTGCCTCAGGCTGTCGATACTTTTGTTGAGCAAACCTGCGAATCTGACAAGAGTTGGGCATTGGTGGCGAAAAAACTCGGTTTCAAAGCTGAAAAACAGGCTGAAATCCGAAAATTCTACTGTAAATATTTGAAGCCTTACAAAGAGTTTTACATTGTATGTTATTATCAATTTTTTTCACTGTTTAATCGATTTCAGCGGTTCTCCAAAAGTAATGATGAGATTGTGATTCTTGAAGATCCTGTCGTTCCGGAACCAGAAGAATCTAAGGATTCAGATGACTCACAAGATTCACAGAATTCGCAAGACTCACAGGACTCACAGAACTCACAGAACTCACAGGATTCTAAGGAAGATGTTAAGGATATCAAAGACATTAAGGACATTAAAGTTTTGGAAACGGAACAGAAGGACTCTATAAGTCGGAAGAATTCTAAGAGCCACAATTCTAAGAATCCTGATGCTCCGACTATTCCTGAAACTAAGATCACACGAATGAGTAGAGCATCTATGCAAGGAGTCAGAAAAGCGAATAACCGAGAGGCAAGAGCCAGAAGAGGTAAAAAAATGTCTGTGTTTTCAACTTTCAATTTGTATTTGTACAGGTCGTCAAAGAGTTGCTGTGCCTTGTCCTTCTTCAGCTCCTGAATCCGAGTCAGATTCGAAACCAGAAGTGGAACCAAATCTAAAATCAAGGTTGAGACCACGTAGAGTGAAGCAGGAAGAAACGCTTGGAGATGACGAAGAAGAAAAGAGAAAAGCCAGAAGATATTTATCATGCTCTAGATGTGATAGTGTCGAGCCTAGAAGTCCCAAGGATAAGCGTTGTTACCGTTGTAATAAGGTGGAACATCATTGCTGTAGGGGAATACCTTTGCGAGGGAAACCAGACGTACTGTTTCTCTCTATTACTTCATTAATGTTTGTCTTTTTTTTACAGGAAACATGGCATTGTTATACTTGCATTCTTGCTTTGATGTATGAGCAAGGAAATAGCTATGGTTTTTATGATTCGGATTGCGAATATACACTTGACGAATTCGCTACGTATGCTAATGATTTCAAAAAGTCCGCTTTTGATAAAGAGCTGAATGAAATAACTGTTGGTGAGGTGGAAGAAAAGTTCTGGGAATACGTGTTGGAGGGAGAAGAGACAAGCGAAATCAAATACGGAGCAGATCTAATCACTTCTAAAGTAATTAGAAAATTTTATACTAGTTCTTATAATATTTGTTCAGGTAGGAAGTGGTTTTCCCAAAAAGGACGACAAGGATGGGTCGGCTCGTCTCGACCGACATTATGTTAACCACGCGTGGAATCTGAATAACATGCCCCTCCTGCATAACTCTGTTTTCTCCCATATGAACACTCATATATCTGGTTAGTGTTTGAAAATGAGCGCTTTGAATTGTTTTGTTCCAAGGAATGATGGTGCCTTGGGTGTATGTCGGAATGTGTTTTAGTACCTTTTGTTGGCACACTGAAGATCACTGGACATATAGTGTTAACTACAATCATTGGTTTGTAGTTTACTGCCAGAGTATCGTCTAAACGTTGATTTAGGGGTGAGCCGAAAGTGTGGTACGGTATTCCTGGAGATCAAGCAGAAAAGTTTGAGAAAATTGTCAGAGAAATAGCTCCTCACACAACAACTTTCCAAAAAGATGTATTCCACTATATGGCAACTGCCGTCAATCCAACATTTCTAAAAGAGCGTGGGATTGATATATATACAGTTAGGATATTGTTATATGAATCAAAATATCTTAATTTTAAGGTGCATCAACATGCTCGGGAGTTCGTCATTACGTTTCCGAGAGCTTATCACTCAGGGTTCAATTGCGGGGTTAATTTCGCAGAAGCTGTGAATTTCGCACCATACGATTGGGTGAATCGTGTTATATTTTTCAAAAATGACAAACATTTTTCAGTTATTCCATGGAAGAGATTCTATGGATAACTATGCGACTGTTCGTCGCCCCAGTGTCTTCTCATATGAAGAACTAATGGTCAGGGCATCCCACGGATGTAAAGCTATGGCGGTGGAAATGGCGGAAGTAGTAGAAGATCATATAAAGCTAGTATGTGGTATATCTATGAACTTTTATAAGATATGAACATCAGGCAATTCTTCGTGGTGATGTTGAAGAAGTGTTTGCCAGAGATGTAAAAGCGACTAGGGTTGAACTGGAAGACTATATTAATGTTCCTGAGGAGTTCCGAGCATGCAGGTTTATCAATTTCGATCCATGTTATAAAACGTATGAATTCATCAGGTATTGTAAGACGGTTTGTGCGCATATGTCTGTTGAATGTCCCCATGGGAGAATAACTTGTGTGGAACATCATCGTTTCCTGTGTCCTGACTGTAGCGGTAACGATGTAACTTTGAAGTTTGTCAGATCAGTTTTCTCTGTTATACTCACCCTCATTTATAGCGTATGGGATGTTGAACTGGAAGATAAACTGCTAATCGTGTCAACAAGGTTAAGTGAGTTTAAACAATGGACTTCTAGATTGGACATCGCGTATAGCCAAAAGCCTAAGCCATGTATGAGCATAGCATTGTACTTGTTAAAGTAAATTTTGTTACAGCTGTGCAACACTTCAAACAGTTACTAGTGGAAGGAGAACTATTAGAGTCTCCATGCTATGAAAGATATTTGAAGTTGATAGAAGATATCAAGCATTTCCAATTCTTGATTGAGCAAGCGGAAGTTCTGCTGGCTGAAAAAATAAGAACCAGGTTCGTGATTATTATTAGATAGTCTTGAAAGCATTCTATAGGCAAGAAACCAGAGCTCAGCGAGCTGATACTCGACCAACTTCTGAACAACTCAAAGATCTATACGTTAAAATGTTAGCTGCTTCTTGCGACTTTGGGGAATTGTTTTTGAAATTGAAAGTTAGTGTTTTCAATTGTTTCTATCTAGTTTTTTGCTTGAAGGAACGTCATGAAGCAGTGTCTGCTTGGCAAGAAACTGTGGCTACGGCTCTCGAAATATTCCAAACTAATATTAACACACCAACTTTGCAACTAGAAAGTCTTATAAGCCGTGGAGAAAGTTTCGACCTCCGATTAACAGAGTTAGATGATTTGAAAAAGGTTTCTTCTGATTTTTTTCGCAACTCAAAAAAATTTTTTCTTTTTAGTGTTGCCGTATTTTGGAGTGGAAAAAAAAAGCAGACGAGTTGATGAACTGGCGTTGCCGGATTAATATGGAAGATGAAGAAAGTTTCTTGTCAAAAACCAGGAATGATCTACCTAGAGTTTTGAGGTATTTATGCTGCACATAAATAATGAACTATATTTTCAATTTCTCAGTCTCATCAGAGAAGGGACTGATCTTGCTAAGAAATATCCATTACTTGACTTGGTAACCGAGATCAATCTCAAATACAAAACGGCGGTTGAGTTGGAAGAGGAAGTGAGTATTTTCCATTTGTGATCACTTTATGTATTACAACATCAGGTTTCATCACTGCGCTATGCAAAAACGATTGCCATGGATGTGTTGGAAGAGACTTGGAGAAAATGTCGAGACAGCGATTGGTGCAACGCTCCGGGTATTGTTATGATTAATGTATATCATAAATTCGTAATCTTGAAGGTCTTGATTGGTTCCGTAGAGAGTACATGCAAGCACGGGAGTACTGCAAAGAGAGCAGCATTGAAGGAATCTGTTTAATTGAATGTCATAGCCAAGTTGAGAAGTGTCAAAAGTCTTGTGTTCTAGCAGCAACCTCATATTATAAAGAAAGGTTGCTGATTAGAGACTCCGGATATGTTTTCACTGAAAAGCTGGCTAGTCTCTTCTTGAAGACCACTTCTTACTACACCCTTGGGGAAGTCTGTTTAATTATATCTTTCGAATTTACGACAAATATGTTTCACAGATATTGAATGAACGTGAAGATATAATTCCACTGGTAGAAGGAAGGAATGTCCCTATGAAAATCCATAAGTTTACTGAACCGATTCTCGAATGGTATGCGCTATTCTTTTACTTTCCACTGAACCCTCACTATTGCAGGGAGTCAATCATAGACTTCGATTCTTTCCTAGATGTTCAGAATAATTTTGATTTTTTACGAGAACAACGTAGAAAACTTTTAGGCAAGTTTAAAGTTGCTTGAAGTTTCATGATCCTTTGTATTAGGCACTCTCAATAATTTGAACGAGAAAAAACTTGTGTCACAAACCTGTGCTTGCTTGTCAATGAAGGAAGACAGTGTTATTTGTTGTCTGCTTTGCAAAGCCAAAAATCATGGTATGTTCTGGTTTCATTCCCTGTTCTTACCGTTTTTAGTGTCTTGTTGTCGTTGGGATGTTTTTCTTGAAAGTCTGCCCGAGGGGACTTATCTATGTGTTCGTTGTTTAAGATCCTGTCGACCATCCATAAAGGATGTTAATCAAGTTTGTCAATTTGCTCATGAAAAGTCTGTGGAAGTAAGAAATTATATTAAATTTATGAAGTTAATGAAAATTGATTCAGGGCGAGCTAGTACGGGTTTTGGCTCACGCCGCTAAAGAAAATTCTTTGAAAGTAAAGAGTACAGCAAATACATTAATAAAAAGTAAATCTAAAGTTTGGCCGGACGAGTTCAGGATAAGGTTTGGTTATGACAGAATCTTGGTTTGTAATCGTTCCGTTTCAGAGCTCTTGCGGTTGTTGAAGATTTTTTGAGTTTGGAAGTTAGTGAACCCAATGTTTTAAAGGATCTATCTCAACTTATCAAGTTTTTGTTTAAAGATGTCCTGGAGAAACAGAAAGGGTAATTCAAGCCTTATTGAATATTTATCCATCGAATTTCAGGTTATGTGCTAAATTGAAATATGCATCCGTAAAATCCAATCCTCCCAAAGTATTGTTTGCTGAGCAGAAAGGAAAAGGACGAAAATCAAGCGATTTGGATGCGCCTAATAAGAAAAAGCGTCTACGTTCTGATCAGCTCCATGATGATAAAGATCTTTGCGCTTTTAAAGCATGCGTGCGGCCTTCTGGTGAGTCCATTTATCCGGAGTGAAGCATTTTCAAAAAATTTTAGTGAAAAAGGTAGGTTGGGTTCAATGTGAATGTTGTGGATGCTGGTATCATCTCGTTTGTGTTGGATTGACTTTTGAGACGGTTAACGCCATAGAGATTTATAAATGTGGCACTTGCTAATTCTATTGTAAATATTAATATTTTTAACTCGTTTGTATCTCTTCAACGCTGTATCTCAGAATAACTGGTCGAACAATCTTTAACACTGAGTCATTGGATTTGTTGAGAATCCTCATGCATACTGAAATCTTTCTTTCTATTGATCTATTCTATACGTTACGTATAGGAGCTTCATACCCATGTATGAATTTTGCAATTTTTGAACATCTATTCTGAACGGTTAGTAGTGATGATGAAAATGAAGGTACCGCCCTCTTAAATAAGTAATAAAGTTTTACTTTAATTCGTAGTGTACAATATTCACAAGAATGTTGCCGAACCGAAATGCGAAAGGCAACAAAATTAGGCAACTGAGACAAAACTTTGATCAGAACTAGCGTTCTCTTGTAGTCGAACTACTATATACAAAAAAAAGAGGAAAGTACTAGACTTAAAAAAAGGCTAGAATTATAAAAGCAGCATAAAAAAAACAAAAAAATAACAGGCTCTAATGGTCAGCGAGTAGCGTCTTGGGGACCTCGCTATATTATAAATAAAGACTAACTTGTCAAGTTAACTTTCTACGACTTCAGTTATAATAGGGACTAATCAGTGTCAGGAAAGATATTGTACAAAACGAGCTAATAAGTTATAGAGAATATCACAAAATTCGAAACTCCAGAAGATTATTCACCGGATTCCCGGTGAGTAGAAGAAAACAACCAGCAAAGAGAAAACGAAACCCACATATACCAGCTAACGGTTACTCGAAAGCATAACAGGATCTGCCGAAGCCATACTAATAGTTACATTTATGCCAAGATTCCCGTTTTCTGCAAAGAGTGTAAAGCTTAGTTTGACACAATCATGCTTACCAGCGAATAATTGCGCTGTTGATGTATCAAAAGCTAAACAATCAGATTGTTGAATAGCTTGAGCAACTCCTTCATGGATACTTCGAGGAGTGGCTTCCCATGCAAGCCTTCTTCTCATGGTGGATAGTTCCAGTCTGAAAAAAGTTTTCAAAACGAAACTTGTGGAAACGAACCTGTACATAAATAACTCTGCTTCCTTTTTAGCTCCGATTAACTGGACAACAGCATAAAACATTTGCTGACCTTGATCTCGGTCTTGTTTTTCTAGAGAGAACAAAGCTGAAGTCTTACACTTCAATCAAAAATTACCTAGCACAAGCATGAAATTGTAGCCAAAACAACTCTGCATCATCACCCAATCCACAGCCCCAGGAAGGTTGATATCAGTTGCCAGAAATACGATATCCTCTCCTTGCAAAGTGGTGATGCTTTTATGGATTTTTTTCAAATGGTCCATGACTTCAGAAAGAGCTCCTTGCCATTTACAAGAAGCACCGGGACAAGGACATCCATAAGGCCTTCAGAACAAAATTTTAATAACTTTTCAATGTTGTATTCAGATTCTACCTGTATTCACAGCTCTCTTCATGTTCAACTTTCTCTTGGTGATAGAAAACAAGTACACAACCCGATGAAGCGAATTTGCATGGGAATCGAATAGTATTCGCAATTTTCTCAAGCCCCAAGTTACGTACATTAGCTAAAACAACAAAGTACGAAACACCCTAATCTGGAAAAACAAACGTATTGAGCCTCGACATGTTGGACAGCATTGCAATTTAGGCCTACAGTTGCCACAAACTAAGTGGCCTGAATTGCACTGTAAATATGGTGGGAGCATATATTCCAAGCAAACAGGACACTCAAAAACTGACAGAAACTGAAGAAAATGCAATTATTATGGAATTTTAAGCTTGAAATACCTCAGAATTATCATGAGGATCTGCGTGACAATCCACAGCTGCGACTTGAGGGGCGACTTGTTGTGTTGCGGGTAACGTTGATGGAGAACAGGCAGCTACTGTAATAAAAACATTGTATATATACATAAAGAGGAGGGAAGAATTCCACAATCAGCTGTTTGCACTAACCTGCGGTACTACCTTGAACACGAGCAGTTGATTTAGGGGTATTTTGAGAAATGGAATGAAAAGCAGAAGATGAAGAAGATTCACTCATGCTTGGGACTGTGTTCATTGCATTACTCATACTCGTATTGTTGTCATCAGATCTCATCATTTTTAACAGAGATCAAGGATCACAATAATTAAAACGTCAGGTTATTTCCCCAAGTTTAAGACTCAGGCATTTACGTTTTGTCTAAAAAGAAGGAAATGTTCAATAGCGAATTAAATGGTGATGTTTGCAGAAAGAATGTTTAAAATTACTTCAAAAACAAAACATATTCCACGAAATTATTAAATTAATAACAAAAATCAGGAAGACAGGAATATTTTAATGACATTGGTTATCAATAAAATTCCTAATTATTGGGACCTGGGCAACAAAAGAAAAGAGGCAATAGTTGGTTGCTTGGCTAGACGGAAGAGATGCTGACATTGCGACAAAAGATCACATCAGAAGAAGAGAGTATGCATTGACAGAGAGTAAAAGAACCAGAAGGAAACGAGGGAGAAAGACCAACACACCCAGCTGTGTGACTGACGAGATAGATGAGACGCGTGCAGAGACAATATTGATTAGGAGCGATCTACCATTGGGAACAAAACCGGAAAAACGAAAAGAATTCTAGTCGACTGGAAACGCTACGGCAGGCTTCCTGCGATTCTTAGCACAGCAAGTGCATTTATGCTTTTATAAGTGTTATTATGAATATAAAATTAAGAACATGATGAAGAGAAGATAGATCTAAACCAGTCGCCAAAATACAAGTCGGAAAGCCGACTAAAACCCCGACATAATTCAACAGCTGATCTTTTTTAGTAAAACATACTTTTCTTGGTTGCCATTGAATGATTAGAGGCCGCTCTTGTATCAGGCGTGGTCTCTGACCTTCCGTAATCAGGGTAAGAACCCATATAATCATTACTTCTACAACTAGCAGTTCGTCCCTTGAATTCTGTTCCTGAGAGCGCAGTTTCGCTTCTACAAATACAGATATATATTTTATATTGTGTGTAAAGCTAGCACCTCCTATTCTGTTTTACTAATAACTCTGCTATTCTAGCTTCATCAACTTCAAACAATGCTTCTTCTTTTAACTCATCGCCATTGTTAAATATTTTAAAAAGATATACGCCAGCATCTTGAAGCCTGAACGGCTGTATCTTGAGAGTAAAGCTATGCAAGCCATTAGTGTCCATAATCCGTTCCGTTATGATAAACCTCCTGTCCGTTAACTGACAAACAAACGGTGTTTGATAAGAGACGAAGCATCAAAATACCTGAGCATTATCTTTAAACCAACCATGACTGAATTCGGATGAGCTGATATGAGTCTGAGTTGTCATCCGGGGATAACCTGCACCATAATCAGCCTGATTGACCCTATTAGTGCAGGTAGACATCTAAGATAGTTGATCAAGTTATTCATGAGAAATGAGGGAGGAAATGGAAAATAAAAAGAAGACAAAACTTCGTATCACGTGGAAATGTTATGATTCGAATAATTTATTCCGATTTTTTCATTTGGAAGTATAAAAGGAACCGGGTTACAGGACTGAAAGCTCGACAAAAATAAGCTTCGTGTACATTAGTTTTAGAAGGTAAAAAGGTTCAATTAAGTAAATATAAGTAGAAACCGTTCTGACAGGCAATATTAGAAATGAAATAGTATTAACATTAATAAACAAAAGATAAACTGACTCACGTCACAAGTTTCAATTCACAAATACGGGTCTACGTTTGCGGAGAGTCATGTATATTTACTCGCCTCCCATTCCAGGTGGGGGAGTTCCGTTTCTAACAATAAAGTCTCCCATCCAACTTTCGGTATGCCCTGTTCGTTCTCCATCCGGTCTTGTTTGACTCAGATGCAACATCTAAAGAATTGAATGACTGAACACAGACAGAGGGAAAAAGAAGCTCTCACGTTTTCATTGCACATTTGCAAAGCAATACTGAAAGCGAAAGCGACGTGCATGTTCCTTTCAGCTTTTTTCACCACACGATTGGGAAGAATGGCTGCTAAAGAAGACATGGAATGAAGACCTGAAAACAAGGCATTCCCGTTGACTTCACATACACACACACCTTCGACATTGAAATCACTCAATACTACTCCAGATGTCATTTGTTCCGCAGTATCACCACCGAACGATGTTCCTACTTTCTTCAGTATATCTTGATGACCCTCCTGCGGTGGAGCAAATACAGCATTGACAATTTCTAAAAAAAATGTTTAAGCAAAACGAGTAAGAAACGAAATTACCACTAGTCTCGTCGTCTTGCTCATCGGTAGGAGCACTTGTTTCAGTAATCTAAGTAGCTGGCATTTGAAATTATGTTGATAAACTCACCGTTATGTTAGCGTCACTGTCATCGCCTGTTTTTCTCTCTAATTTATCAGCTGACATCTGAATTATGATAAATAATAATTGATTAAATGCTTATCCAAACCCAAGGACACGTTAAAATTTCTCTCATGTAAGCTTTCACCCGCGACTGGTCGATGTTCGAGTTAGTGATTGTTACTTTTTTCTCCATTATCTAAGAACATCCAGCTTGTAAAATTTTAGAGTTTACTTACAGTCACAGTTTCTGACTCATCTTCGTCACTATCAGCGCTATCATCATCATATTGCATAGCCCATAAATCTCTCAACCTTTCATGTTCTGTATTTCTATCTCCCAAAAGAGGTGTAGAAGTTGGGACCTAATTGAAAAAAAAAAAACATTTGTAAGCGATACTAATACTGCATTTACAATTTCGCCATTCAAGGGGAAGAAATCATCATCAGCAGTCGGAACGTCATTCATGTCGTCATCTGCCACTATGTTAGACGAGCTTATCCGAGAACCGTCATCATTAGCTGGAGGATCGCCTTCCTCCCAATAATCCGAAAACAAATCTCTGAAAAGTATTATGAGAAAAAAGAAATTTTTTTTCGAACTTTGAAGAATCTCCGTCGCCTTCATCACTAGAACTATCTTCATTGATGATACGGAAAGCTCCGAACATTGCAAGCCAATCTCTACAAACATCTTCCACATCTTGGGCCTCTTCTACTTCGAGGTTTTCAGGTAGACCTTCATTGATTTTCGCATCGTTTATTTGAACCGGTAAGCTACGTTGGAAACGAACTCCCCCATACCTCCCCTAAAAAACAAACTTTTGCGAGGAATTTGAAAGGTAACGAACTTGGAATAGCAAACCAGGTCTTGTGAAGTTTTCAAAATCGAAGGCCCCAAGGTACGGTCGTCGCTCTAACTGTTTCTTGTTTTGGAAAACTATATCTTCACTCTTAACTAGAGAATTAGGCTTGGCGATTGTGAAGCGATTAAACGCTTCTTCACGATCGTTGAGATCAGAAAGTACAAAATATCTGAAATTTCTCATCAGAATAATGTGTCACGTCAATCTCCTTAAGCTTACGATTCAAAGTTTTGTTCAACTTGAACCTTCTCTTTACGTGGCTTCTTCTCTTTCTCTGTGACCTTATCTGTTGCTGTAAGGTTTGAAGTAATTAGAGCTTGAAATGACGATACAACCTTTCCAATGGGCAGCATCCCGTTTTCCCAGATGTTTCAGCAACAAGTTGTTCTCGCAGGGAGCAACTTCGCTAGGAACATCTGGGTATTCTTCTGAAGGAGTATCTAAGCTTACAGGTTGTTCAGAATAAGCGCTAGTTCTGAAACGAAACTAACGCTTAGGAACAACACTTTTCGAGTATCACGTTTCAGTGTCCAGTAAACTGTCGACATAGTCGTCTGAAGGCAATTCTCGGGGTATAGTCGTTTCTTCTTCCACAACCAAAGTATTATCCTGCTCTACTATAGTGGCCTCATTATCATCCGGACATTCAGCGTCAAACGAATCAAATTCATCCATACAGACTGAATCTTGGAACCTGAACATATCAATAGGCTAAAAGTTCGGCTCCTGAGAATATGTACGTTTCAAAGTTTGCCGCAATATTACATTCCTCTACCCACGGATCAGCCGCTATATTAGACTGTATAAGGAGAATTGTTTATAAATAAGGATTGAGAACTTACAGGCTTATCATCCATATCCATAAAAAAAAGGTAACTTCCTGGTAGGAGAAGCCTTTTCTTCTTAGCATAAATTTCTTCTTTCGTACCACCACTTTCATCGATTTCCCTAAAAGTATGAATATAACACTTCTCACAATAAGAATAAAAACTTTGCGGCCTCTTTTGCTTCATTCTCGGTTACGTTTTTCGTAACTAATACAGCGTTGTAAGCACTTTCAATATCACGAAAGTCGCCATCAAAACCAGCAGACTGTAACTGAACGTAAACAATGATTGTTCAGAGAGTTATACCTGGAAGTACTGCAGCTCAGTTCGGACATCGTCTGAATCCATTTCCAGTTCCTCCCAAGTGAGCATACTGGTTTTTTTGGGAAGACCCTGAGAAATTCGGTAAAAATTTGAAGCCTATCAATCACAAACCTCGGTTCTGAGATTAGCAATATTGTTCATACATTGAAAATCAACATCTTTCACGGTAGGAACTCCAGCACCTGGTTCCAACCATAACTAAGAAAATATTCAGATTTCGAAAAAAAAGAAGGTTGATTTTACCTCAGCTAAATCGCGGCCTCTCATCTTAATAACTTTTGAGCTTTTTTTTCGTTTTCTCATTAGAATCGTCTGATTAGGCATCATGGTTGTTTCCATTATAGTTCTATCTGGCATACTTGTTGCATCCATTAGCTCGGTTTCATTTGCTTCTGATAGAACTGAAAACTTCGAATAAGTATTTCATATTACAGTTTCTCAACGCACTTTCTTCCAAATCTTCTCCGTCGCATTCGGAACCTTCAACCTTATCACTGCTCAACAGTGATTTATCTGGTGAATCATTAGAAGGTAGAAACTGATTTTCAGGAGCAACGAAGTCCTTAGAAAAGGCGTTCGAAGCGTTGGCTGAAGAAAAAAAAAATTTTTTCATAAGTTTCAATTCAAACCATAGACTCCTTTTGCAAAATCTGCTACACTAGGGGGAAACGGAATTGTATCAGGTTTAGCTCGGATGTGCATATGAAGTAATCGGCCATCACCCTGACATCTCGTATTGTTCAGCAGGAGAGAATTCGCGTTTTGATCTCCGTGCCGTGATATAGCCTAAAAAACAAAGAGATATGACCACACCTTTGAAAAAAACCTGTTGATAATAATCATTCGCGGTAGTTTCAGAAGTAACCATCGATATTTTTTCATCATCTTCTTCCAAAATACGATTCTGTATATCAATTCGCTGAATATATCAGAAATGGATAAAGCCTACCTTCCATTTTATTTTTAAAGCTTTTTCTACTCGTTCTTCTTTTAACGCTGTTAAGTGATTTTTCAAGTCATCGAATGTTGAGGCATCATCAAACAATTCCGATGGACGAGCTTCCACTAAAACATTAACCTAACCAGACAATTTTCTCAATTTTGCAAACCTTCTACTTCTCCTGTTGGTTCTTCTTCTTCTACTTCAGTTGCATCCAAATCTTCAGCATTATTTACAAGTTCATCAATTCGCTTCTGAATGTCAGTTTCAGCTAAACAAGAAAATGATAGAAGGACTTGAAAAACTGTTACCATCTTTGGTCTTGTTCTTTTTCGCAGGAGAATCAGAATCAGAACTCTTGTCGCCTTGAAAAAGAATGAGGAATGTTAAGGAATATTTGAACAAACTATTTTTAACGGGAGAATTCTCCACAATATTTTTAAGAAAGTTCACACTAGTTTCCTGGGCGTCTAAATGAGTGCGATCAACTCGATAACCATAAACAGTTGATGCCGCGTCAATGGCAACTGCCATGTCCTGAAATTCATACAAATATTTAACAAAGATTGCACATGATTTTTACTCACTGATATAGTTTCTCGATCTACGCATGACTGGTCTATAAGATCTAATACTGTTGTTTGCTCGAAACAGTTAGCAAGCAGAAGTTTGGACTCTTTCTGTGCTTGCAATAGCTGCGCTACAATACCAGTTTGAGCTTCCTTATCTATTAACAGGTTCAAAATTAGTTGACCGATGAGATAGCTTTTTTCATACTCTTCCCTTGTTGAGCTAGTCTATTCTCAGCCTGACGACGGGCACGATCCAGCAAAATATTATTTTTAACTTCACGTTTTTGTCGTTCTTTTTTCCTTTCTTCAGGAGATAACTCTAATTCGGTCAGCTGAAAACCAATCTTGTTTAGATTTTCAATAGTTTTAATACTTGTGAGTCTGCATTTTGGTTATGACTTGAATCCCAAGTCTCGATGACTTCAGGATTTTCAGGGTTTTTCCTTCTCTAAAAAAATTATATTTCATCCAGTTCCTTATTATACTCTTACTGCTCTTCGATTTGTTATATTAACGTCGGCCATTTAATGAAGCCTTTCGATCTTCCTCGAACACTACAACATGAAACTAGTCTGAACGAAAAGCTTAATTAGTTAAAACAACTTCGGATGAGGCTTATGCTCCGAGACGGCACTTCCCGCCACTTGGCATTGGAGCGCGTTGCATGCAGTGAGGGGAATTGACTCTACTAGTGTCACATGCACACCGGTGACAATGTGCAATTTTCAACTATCAATTTTTTGTAACGCTCTGTCTCTCTCTAAAGCTCATTTTGAACGCTGAACGATACAATTTCACAACCTTACGTTCTTCAACTCTTCGAAAGAGATAAAATTCCAAAACTAGTCGATTGAGGTACTTTTGAACTATCCAAACATATAAACAAGCAATCACGTGGTTGTATACTCATAAGTTGGAACAAAATAGCTTAAGGGATGAAGCTCATTGAACTATGCACAACCAGATGATCTATGCGGAGAGCAAAAATGAAGAGCACGACCGCTATATATCTGTTCAACATGAAAAAAAAACGTGCATTGGCATTTTGATGTAGCGAAATCAATAGTAGTAAATTGGGTGTGAACGACATATGTTGTTTGATTATGCAATTTTGAGTAAAAAAAAAAGTTTTCATCGGAAGTTCTGGAAGAAAAGACATTTTTGCATCTCAAAGAGACCGGTGGATTAAAACCTCTCTCTTCACAACGAAATTTTCCAAAAGTTACAAAACAAACATTGGAAGACGGAATCAAAAGAAACGTTAAATCAAAGACGTTTTTCTTCTTCACGAGCGACATAACAGTTTCAAAATTTAATTGAAAAAGTAATATTTCGATGAAAATGTTAACATTTTCTCGGACTGTTGGGTCTAAGGTAGACAGTGACATCTCGTTTCATGGTGTTTTCGAGCCTTTTCAAATGAACAAACAATTACTTCTTTACATATGAAACAAAGAAAGGTAAATAAATATTTTTCTTTGAAATCCTTTGAACAGTTAGCTTTCTACAGAAGAAAACATATTATGATACAACTGGAAGTCGCATAGATGTTGATAAACAATTAAAGGAAAAAGTTTGAAAGACAACGAAAAAGATAAACTAAATCATCAAACGTAAAGCCCTGCATCTCGTCGAATCCACCTTTCTGTCGGTTCGCTAATCGAATCTGCTTATGTTTTGACTTCGGCTGATTCTCCTTTGATATCGGTGATGGGTGCTCCAGCTTCAATCTGGTTCTGTAAAGACTTTTTTTTGAATTTTTTAGAAGAAAAGACATTTTAACATACCACAAAAACGGGAACACATGCTAGAGATATCTTTTCAGTTGTTTCTACAAACTTCTTGCAATCTTCCGAGTATAGAAGTACGCGTACATGGAAGTACATAGGCTCACACCTCATTGGCATTGATAGAGATCCGATCGAATCACACGTACAAACAACTTCAGTTATTGAGGCAGGAATTCTCTGCAAATAAAAATGTTCAAGCCATAAACAAGGAAATGCTTCATGAAGATGCATTCATTCCTTTTATTAATAGTTTTGAATTAATATCTAAAGAAGTCGATAATGATGTGATGATGGTGGGAGGATGAAATTTAATAGTTAAATTATAAGGAACGGCTATAAATAGAAGAGCAGTTTGTAAGTACCTTAGGATTATAGTTCAGAACGTGATGATATGGGCACAAAGATCTCTCACGTAATGGCTGATCAGGCAAAACATTGGCAGATCGAGATTCTATAGAGCATTCCTTGTTCATAGGTGATAAATGATTTCCGTGTTTTAGTTGTTGTTCCATTATAATCTGAATAGAATAGTAGAACTTAACCATATTAGGAGTTTATGGTTACTTGTTCTTCAGGATGAAACTGCAAATAATCTCTTTCCTTCTCTTGTCTACTTAAGATTTTGGCGAAAGCCGTGTTCATTACATCATCAGCATCCGATGAGCATTCGACAGTTCGTCGCAACCTGCTAAATTAATTTTCAATAATTTCCACTTATTCTGCCTGTACTAGTAAATAATAATTAAGATTAGAAGACATATTTAAATAAAACTTCCATCCAGCACATAATAGTTTCTATATTTATATCCGAAACGGCTGCTTTCTCTTGTGCTTTTCTCTCTCACTTTCCTTTTGCATAGCCATGTAAGTCTATTATTAGCTGACAATTGGGAATGATAGTTATTTAGACCATAAACATTTGCGAAATGGTTAACGCATTTGATTTTTAATAGGAAAAGCTCTTTTTTTATATTACGTTGTAGTTGTTTCCCTCGTCATAAAACACTCTGGGTGAGGGACACATACAGACTTCTTTGCAAGAAAAGGTTATGACGTAATTTGAAGTGTATGAACGGAATCAGAACTCACAAGTATCTATGAGATGCATTTTTTTTTATTTGCTCTGATATTTACATGCAATTATAGCATAAATTATGTTTTACCTGGATCTCCAAGAAACTTCCGATGCTAATGAAGATGCAGGGGTTTTAAGTATGCGAGATTCAGTCGTTGTAATAGTGAGGACTACTACCTGAATTCATAAATGTTTTTGCAGAAATGATGAGAAAAAAATAAAATTTATATATTATAAATGTGTAAGATATAAGGTTCAAAAAAAATGTTGATGCAGCTTTATTTATCGCTTGGCACTAACAGTCTGGAGATGCTTTGCAGCGGAACGAAATCTTGAAAAGGTCAAATGGATGATGTGTGTTTGCAAACAAAAAAAAATTTTTCTGTTGATCAGGTATTGTTTTGAACAAAATTATTACAAAGGAAATGAAGATATCAGAGGATATTCAGGTTGTGCAGCCTGTCACCAAGCTATTATTGTTTATAAGATATCTCTTATTACATTTTTTTTGTTCATGTTTCTAAGGAAAGGTCCACTAAATGATTCATTCCAAAACAAATTAGAAATCTATGATCAGTGAAAAGTCTAAACAAATCTATTTTGAGAAGTTTAGACTGTGTTTCATTCATTCCTTTTACAGAAAATGCTTTAAAGTTAATGAGCCTTTAAGAATTTTGGTTTCTTAGATCATTTAATTTTGTATCTGCTGCACAGGCTGTAAACAGAAGTTCGAATATGGCGTGTAGACGTGACGTGGACCACGTGAACATTCATTCATCATTTTTTTATTTGAAATAGACATGAGCGGTTGTGTTTAGCTCTGTGTGAATATGAAAGAAAACAAAACAAAACTGACCATAGAAAGGTAGGATGAAACATCAAGATGCAACATAGTTTGAGTCTCACTGGATAAGAGGATGAAATATTCCAAAATGATAGCAATGAATGGCTTATAAATATTAGTCGAGGGTCAATTATTTAAGCGTATGAGCAACAAAGGCGGATATTTTCAACCTTTTTTAAGTTTTCAGCTTCAACTTAGTAGGCGGGGTCGACACCCCGAACTTTAGGTTAATGAGATCTGTTCCCAATTAGGGAATATAAAAATGAAATCTTAGTGAATATAATAAAATTAGAACTTGTGTTTTTTGATACTATAAATCTTCAGGAAGTCTTTTTCCATAGTAACTGATTCAGGTGAATTGATAAGGAACATAGCTACTAGAGATTCATAAATAAAAGAAATTCGACAGAACCACTCGTGTTCATTAGTTTTAATATGAAATAATTCATAGGCGTCACATATCAGCGGAGCTTTTCCAAGAAGGTATATCTTCATATAATATGTTCTCTCTTGAAGTTTTAAGTTAGTATTCGTAACCTTTCCTGATAACTAATTTCCTTTTTCAGAGATATGCACGACCAGCTAACTAATCATTCAAAGTAATTTTTAGATAGCTTAAACGATCATAATATGCACTCAAGTTTAGCTTGAAAGGAAAACGCTTAGCAACATTCCGAGAATCATCATCACATCATTATGATAATATGGAAGTTCCTCAAACCTATCAGCTCGACAAATTGGATGTTCAACATATGCATCATACTCTTACTGTAATAAAAGATTAAAAAACATTTTTGCTTTCATCAAACCTCTTCTCTCTACACGAAACGTCAATTATTACATGCATACCTTCTTAATCATAAGAAAAAACGTCGTAGGGTTGCAGAACATGGCAGGTGTTAAGCCTGTCAGCCCTTCCAAATTAGCTTTTATTCTCATTTCTCAGCGAGAGACAGGAAAAAGTTTTTATTGTGGGTTGAATGAAAAAATCATGAAAATGACATGCTTTGACATGAAACTGTGTTCAATTTCAAAGTTTTACAATAAAAAAAAGATAAGTAGAATGAAGAGAAAGCAAAGTTGATTATTGAACTGGGTAGTTTTCAATTTGGGTATCATCAAATGTGAAACAGGGATTTCTGTGTTTACACTCCTATTCGCTACAGACTATATTTGTAGTCAGTTTGTATGCATACGATAAGGATATAGCTATATAAAGAATCATTTTTCTTTAATTTTTATTATATTTTTATTTTATTCTCTTCTTTTTGAATTAAATGTTTTTGGCCATCTATCTATAGCCACCTACTCTTCTTCCACAAATTCCTATAAAGTGACGTCATTTAACCATCATCCCCCCCAATAAGGGATTATAGTAATATTAACTTTAATTGTTTCGTTAATTCTTCAATGAACTCAAATCTATTCTATAACATCAATCGTTTCCTTTTCAAAAACTTCCAGTTTCGTTTACAACATTAGTTTTTTTAAAACATTTTTCTTTTCTTAGCTACAGCCTGGCCGGCCCTCCCATCGTTTCTCCTCTTCTCATCTTCATTGTCTTCTTCTTTCTCTTTCCCTTTGTTTCTCTTTCACTCTCTTGCTGTTGATAATAACTAATTCTTTTCTTCACTTTAACATTTTTCTAGAGAAGAACAAGTATATTTTCTCTCTATCTCCTTTTTTTTACTACGCACTGTTTAAACAGAAAAAAAGCATTTTCTACTTCAACTCATTCAGCTGTCAGAATACTATCCAGATAAGAAATGGCGAATATAGTTTTCTCTGTGCCCACCATGACAGATAAAGGCGAGATTCTTCAGTTTTTATTTAAATATTTTATAACACAAGAGTCAATGAGCCGCGTAAGTTTTAAAAAGCTCTTAGTGTTAGAATTTAAAGTGATCATCAGGCTGCTAAAATTACTGAAGAGCAGTTCCGTCCATGCGCTGAGGAAATATTGGATAGCTCGCTAAAAGTTCCATTTTCGGTCATTGCTCGGGAAAAAGGTTTGAAGGTTGAGAACCGGGCATGAAGAAATATTGTTTAGAAACTAATGAGTTGGCTGGCATTTTATTACAATCCATTTGGGAGAAGAGTGAGGAGGATATTGAAAATCAATATTCTTTTGGAACACCTAATCAATCGCCAAGCGGTTCAATAGGTGAGATAGCTGTAAATACTTCTGGAATTGTGTTACTTTGAGCCTTTGTATTGAATCAGCTGCATAATTCCTTCTATAAATTGGTCCCGGATGACGTCAGTAGAGTTTTGCACAGGTTAACCTTAATGTTGTCCATCAAATCAAAAATAAAATATAGAGAGATGAGTTGTGTTGCTGCCAAGTTTCAAAGACAAGGAATAGCTAAGCGAATGGCTCTGTATCACTTGGAGAATCCTAAACTAAATGTTTTATTTCCTTCAAAAAACTCAAATACTTTCGAGCTTATTCAGGAATTCAAAATACAAGGAATCGCATCAGAAACCAGTTCTCAGGCTAATCAAGCTTTGTTGCAGAAACTTGGATACAAGGTGAGCTTTGCACTCATTTTTTTTCGATGAATAAGACTAAATAATTAATTTTTTGATAAAAAAAATTTTTTTCTTTTATAACAAAAGGAATATTGAACAAACTCTTTCTTGAGTTGTACAAGAGGGAGGGAGGGAGAGGAGGGGAGGCAGGAGATGTATATGAAGACGCATTGCCGTATTTCATTCTCTCTGATCTCTGAGAACAATGTGTATCTTGTACGAATTATAATAAAACTGCCTTCAGACAATCAAAGAAGTTCATTTCAAAAATATTGTGGATGCAGATGGCAAGCCAACCCTTATCTGTGATGATGGAACAGAGAAGGCTGTTCTGAACTATTTGAAGATCTGATGAAGTTATTGAAAACTAAAGAAACTGCATATTCATTTCGCCATTCTAACAAAATAACAATTTCCATATTGTAATAATAAGAGATGTATAAAGAATAAACGAAAGTTCAAATTAATTTCGTATAAAATAATTTCGCAGAACTTGAGACTCTCATAATCCATCGCAATCTTGGAGAAAAGATTCTGGAGAAAAGAGGGTGTCCAGATGTAGATTCAAAGATAAGGAAAGTAGTTCTTCATCTTGTTCGTTTCATTCACATTATTTATCTCCAATATTTGTCTTGAATACTCCACAAGGTTCATCCTATCCGAAAAATTCTCACATTTGACTCGGTCATGAACTTATAGTCATGTACAAGGATAAATACGATCATCAGTTCAATGATTTGAAGGTAATACGAAATATGCCATTCGTTGTTACCATTTATCTCATTCAGATTTCCCTCTTACGGTGTTCTCGTTTCAAGTCCATATGGATTGTTTCATGTTTATTTCTTCTTGTTTTTGTCTACATAGTTTATCAAGTTCAATATAAAACTGGTATAGAGCTAATATCGTTTATTCCAATTGACGACAGTGGTTTTGAGTTAGCATCTTCTGAGAAAGAGAAAAATTATTTAAATTTCTTAAGATTGTACGATGAGAGCCATTTGAATTATGCAGAAGTGAGCAAAGCTGCTAAAGAGCAACGAAAACAGGGATCTTTACTATGTTGGATAATGACGACAACAAGTTACCATCATACAAGAGTATTCATCAAGCTACAATTTTTACTGATCATGTTTTTTGCTGTTTATAGGTGAAAGCCATGAATAGCACATGGCCTAGTCGTTGTGACTCGTACCATTTCCTGACTAACGGTGATAGATTTCTGGATGACACCGTACCCTACCACACTATATTTCGATTTTTACCTCAAAGCTATTACAAACTATTTTGGAAAACACGTTTAGCTCTTCTTTATGTATTTAAAAATATATCTTCCGAGTTTGATTGGTAAGTTCAATTTCCTTTTGAAACACTTGTTCATTCGTTGCAGGTATTACAAGGCTGATGACGACACGTATGTGGTTGTAGATGTTCTGAGAAAATACCTGCAGAACTTTGATCCTAATCTACCCCACTTTATAGGTTTTCGGCTGAAGAGAAGAGCGGTACGGAAAGTTCTTTTCAAATAAGTGAGATCATCCTTTCAGAAAGAGCATGGTTATAATGCAGGAGGTAGTGGTTATGTTATGAGCAGAGCAGCCATGGAGATCTTCGCAGAAAAATTATATACTAATAAGACCTTGTGTGGTTATCATGAGTGGGAAGATTACGCTATCGCTCGGTGAGCTCTGTAGTAAGACAAGTCGCCTCAGTTATTTCTTGAAGGTGCCTTTCTTCCGTGTCTATCTATCCCACTGATAGCCGCGACAGTTTTGGACGACAAAGGTTTCTACCTTGGAGACCTGAACAACATTATTTTGCTGATTTAACTCCTTCATTCCTTATGGATGATATTGAACATATGGTAAGTATATGAAGCTTCTCAGAAATAAATATAAGTTTAGGGATCTTCAATATTTCATCCGAATCTCGTTGCAATGCATCATCTGTCTCCTGATGAGATCCGACTCATTCACGGTTTGCTTTACGGTGTTGCACCTGGTATTTATGATCTTCCTAAGTGATTAATAATCCAATCAAGTATTCTAATTGATAGGTTTCGAATGTATTTATACAAAAATGTGTGTATATGTGCTTTATTTTACTACCATGTAGTCAGTTCGTCTTCCAGACTTGAATATCCGATCAATATGCTATAAAACACTCTTATAACACTACTGTTGATTTGTTTGTAGTTTAACCTTGATTAGCCTATTTATAAATTTGTCAGCAAGCTCAGCATTTCATTTCCCTCGAGCAGATAATTAGACCGGTTGCGTATAACTTTGCAGGAAGAACCCAGCAATATAATCTATATATAAGTATATACATATTCATTTTCTGAGATCAACAACAAAAACAACAACAAGGAATAATAGTTTTGGGATTTAGTACAACTTGATGATATGTTCGACAGGCTTTCTTTTGAAATCAGGCACTGTTGCATCTTCAGCTGGATATCCGAGAGGTAAAAGAAGTAAAAGCTGAACAAATAAATACTCAACAGAGCTTTTTTTAAAACTTCACATACTGATTCATTGTCAGGACGTTTCAATAATCTGGATATTTGAGGTCCTGCATTTAGAGGTGACGTGACTACTGTGCAGAGACCAATATTCTGTATTGCGGTTAACAAAACTCCTACAGCTATCAAAGTGCTCATCTCATTGTAATGGTACATTCGTTCGAGCTGTCCTTCAACATTTTTGAAAACCTTGAATGAAAATGGGAATGAAGTAATGAAAATGGAACATAACATACTTCATGACATATAGCTAATAGATACGGAGCATCTGTAATATAAGGACGACTCCAAGTAGATTGCAGAGAAGATACATCTACTATCCATTCGACTCCTTTTCTTAAAACAAAACTTCTAATCTAGACTAGAGAGTAGATGAACAACCTTTTCGTGTAGTTTTCACGTTCATCTGCTTCGAGAATACTACGAATATCATGTTTCAAATCATCTCGAACGATTACACAAAACACCCATGGTTGTGCATTTCCAACAGATGGGGCGGAACCTGAAACGATTTTTTGAGAAGAATGAACTATAAAAAGCGTGTAAAAATTATATAATTCAATTCTTACCAGCAGTCTTTATCAAATTCTGAATTACTTTGAGAGATACTGGCCGGCCACTTGAAAGATAGTTAAGAATAGAAAGAATCTTGTGGAACTCACCTGAATGTTCTTATACTTCTACGCATTTTCATCTGTTCGTAGAAAAACTGAGACTTTTTCAACGATTCATCGTCATCATACAATGGCGTGAAGAAAGGTATCTGAAGTAGTTCACGGTTTTTTTCTGTGAGAACATTAGCCACAAACCTCTTTCTCGTCATAAACGAAAGCATGGAGATCAGAGATAAACCCGTCGTCTGACACCCCCTTTTCGGAAGTTTCCTTCAAAACTTTCATTATAAATCAAAAGTCAAGCGGTGGAAACCTTTTTCTCATCCTGTTTACCTTCTTTCCTCCGATCATATTTCTTGGATGTTGTCAAGAGAGTCATAACTTGATAGCTAATGAATGCAATAACCTAGTATGAACGGGAAGTTATACAAAAGTTCAACAAAAGATATTTTAACAAACCATAATAGATATTGTGAGATTGAGGATAATTTCTGTGTGCTCAGCATACTTATCTTTCAGATCTTGGATTAACAATCGAATGTACTTGGCATCAAAGAAACGCGTTTTGTTAACCATAACAATTTCTGAAAAAAAATTTGCCTGCCATGCAAGAGTTTATAAAAAATTATTCGACTTAAGCAATGCTGCCAAGAAGTTAATAACTGATGATAAGGTCAGCTGTTCTTTAAAAAGCTTTTAAAAATGTATATAACACAAGGTTTCACTATGTGCTTGAAGTATATCTGAACTTTAACGGCCCTGTTGTTAACAGGTGTGATATTTTGAAGTTGGTTCTACCAACATCAAACTCGGGGTTGGAAAAAGTTGTTGCACGTAGTACTAGAACAAGATGCATGAGAGAGAGAAAACAAAATTCTATCATTTTCGTTTTTCGTTCAACTTTCAAGCTCTTTTCAGCAATCTTATCCAGTACTTATAATCAATGAAAAACAGTAGACGATCGATATGGTTCTCATGAGTAATTGAGAAGTTTAAACAGAAAAAGAACGACAATTGAAAAGAAGCAAGTCTTAAGTCGTCTATTAATCAGAGCAAAGGCCGTACGTTGTAAAAGCTGAAGAAGAACAAGTGGAGCAACGTGTGCTAGAAATGCACATGGGGGCGGAACAATGAAAACACAACCGACACAACAAGCTGGAAGTAGATGGAGACATACGACAAAATGATGAGATAGGATAAGGGATAGGATGAAGAAGAAAAGAGCAGAAAATGCTGATCATCATGATTTCATGGTCTCGATTTTTGAAATTTTTTTTAAACTACAGCTTCGAACTCAAATTTCCAGGTTTTTCAAAATCTTTAGACGTATATTTGTAACACAACATTTTCATATAATTATTCTTCATCATTGAAATAAAACCCGCGATCAGAATCACATATAAAACAGTTAAGCATTCGGAATAATTTTTACAATTTCTTGTTCTTTTACTGGTAAATACTGCCACACTTGGTTACCATCAAGTAAAACATTGGAAGGCTGGAAAAACATAGGAGGTTGGTACAGAGCTAACTGTTTCTTCAACAAACCAGATGAGCAACTTCTTCATATTTCGCTTCTCGTAAACTCCATTCTCTAATCATATAGTTGGCATGATTATCACCGACTAGGCGAGTGTCGCACACCCTACAGGAGAAACGTTCAGTGTTCTATTAGTGTTGGAAGAGATTTACCTAATTAATACTCGATCCACACGGAGGTAAAAACGAACTAGAACAAAGAAGTAAGTTGGCATGACGCGTATCCTCACTTCCATCTGGAACAAACAAACATTTTGGAAATATCATGAAACATTGCAGAATGCAACTGTGGAGGAGGGAATGAGGATCATGCTTTGAACAACAGTGTTTCGGGACATTAATAACTTGAAAAAATACTTTGGCACATCCATGATCAGCAAGCTCATCTTCATACAATGTGACGAAACCATAAAACGCAATTGGATCCTGGCGCTTCAACCTCTCCATATCAATCGTTTCTTCACTTGGTTCAAGCTAAATTTTGTTCATTGATTCTGTAAGAACTTTCACGTTCCGACTTTGCAATTTTCTACGGTTCCAGAATATTTAGTTGTGAAAGTCCAATCATATGGCTCGGCTTGACCATTCATTTGCAACTCTTTTCTCGACTCTTGCCAAACAACCGAAGGAGCGACTTGAATATCTGGCACCTTGTCGGGGCATACAAGCTTGAGAGCATCAAGCGCATTAAAACGAATACAAGATCCTAAAAACTAATATATCTCTTTCAGCTTATTGTTACCTGGAAATTTTGAAAAGGATATGACAAGTTGGTTATGAGGAAACACCATTTCAGGTAGTTCGGGTAAGGACAAGGTATTAGCAAAAAGACATTTCTGTAAAAAGTCAAGAAGTTATGTTTCGTGGGAGCTTGATACTGAGCAGGAAGAAGCGTCTTCGTTATGTCTACACATCGACTCCAAAATGTGATCTTCTACAACCTCGAAGTCATAACCACCGTGTTTGAAAGAGTTCTAAAGAGTAAATAACAAAACACATGAATATCAGTTTGTTACCGATTTCCTAGAGTTCTTCCAAGCTTGTTCCAGCACAGCGGCGTTAGAGGTTCTTGCTTTCATACTTACAAATACTATTTACAAAGTTGTCATTAGAACGATAAAAGAATGGAATATGTTGAAGAAACATATGTATTCATCACCCACAAAAACTACACATAACGTTTATTAGGCGTTCTATCGAATAAAAAGAACTATAACAAATAAAATCGAAACGTTCTCATAATTGATAAAGTTATGAATGTAACAGTTATATTTCAAAAAGTGAATAGTTTAAATTAATAAACTAAAATATATGAGAACTAATGCAAGCACTGAAGACTTGCTGAACAAAATACCGGGCAAAAACATATTTTAAATATAAATTTAATCTGGTTCGTCAAGGAAATCTAAATTTTGAGTCATAGGAGACTCTGGAAAGCCATCGACACTCAAATGCGTCAAATTGTCAACTATGCCCGTAAACGACGAAGATCTGGGTAGAGAACTGACCTGAAATTAAAGTGAAAGAGTTGTCATATCTTTTTTTTAAACTTTATATCGGTTAAACTCAATACTATGAATTAAGTCTTACAGTTCTTGCACAATATCCTCCTGCTAAATATCCTCTGCTGAATGTACACACACGGGGTGGTGAGTTCCTTTGCCTCTCAACATCTGCAGCTACAATACGTTCCCAAGACTTAATCAAACATAATTACTAAAAACTGAAGCGTCCACACTTACTGTTCTATTAACTGTGTTCATGGGAATACTTCTGTTGAACAAAGCTCGGCTGGAAGCCGGAGCGGAACTCTGAAAGAAAAATTCTTAAAATTCTCACAATTTATCTAACTGTGTCAGTTTCCGTTTTTCTCTTTTTTGCACGAGGAGAAGTTCCTTGCTCCGGTGCTCGAACTGTTATAGCTTCTCTTGAGTTGCTCGGCCTTTCTTGGGCAGTTGAAGACGATGGACTGCCGGCTCGTGAATTGGTTAAAAGGCTTACACTGGCTCCCATATTCCTCATGTTTTCTTCTACTTGTCTAGCGAGTTGCTCCGCAAATGTTAAACTCGGATCCGAACTAGGGAGATTTCGAACAGTAGATCCTATTACGGGAACAGCTATTCTAATGCTGGAAGGAGTTAAGCGAACTGGACCACTTCTTCCTGGTGCAACCATAGCTGCGGTCGCAGGAGAAGTGGAAGCAGTTGTTGCACCGTGACTCCCAGAGTTTCTAATACTTGCTATACCAACAATATTCGGTGGCATTCTCATGGTTGATGGCTGAACTAAGGGAACCGCGATTCTGGCAACAGCAGGGTTAGTAGGAGGTGCAGCTCTGGCAGGCAAGTTGGTATTCGTTTGGAAATAAACTGGTGTCGAAGAATTAGGATCGAATCTGAGAGGAGTAGTCCAAAGAGCATGAAGTCTCCGACTGGAAGATCCGGTGTTCCTGGCAAGGTGTGCGTTTGATGCAGAATCGAAACTTGGATTTCTTGCTATCACATGAGGATTATCATATATATCTTGTAACCTTCCCATTTCAGAATCTGAGAACAAAGGGATGAATTGATATTTCGCAATTGCATACCTGGTAGATCGTTCAGCATTAATGTTGATAAACTCTCCTGACTGAATAATGAAGCACGGTTCAAAAACCTCTCTTCTGGATCCGAGTGGGCCTAAATCACAAGTTTTTAAATTAAGCGAAGCGATTGAGCTCACAGCGACCATTTCATCGTGAAGCTGTCTGATTCCCACTATTTGTCTGGACCGTCCAGCGGTTTCTGAATCATTGAAAACATTCAAAAGACAGGGAAACCATTTTACCTTCTACTCGGGATATATCATTTTCTCTCATGAGTAATAAGATCCATCTAATAGCATGTTGAATGATGAGGATGACACTTGCTTCTTCACTAGGAGAAATTATTTCTCCATTGTGAGTAAGAGCCATCTGAAAATACACGTAGTCCAAGATAAACGTCATAGGATTTACTCGTATTTCGGCCATCGTAGGAACTCCGTAGGGCTCAGTAGGTAAATTTGTTCTTCTTCTGGTACTCAGTGAGTCACGGAAAGAACTGTTGAACTGGAAATACGACAGTAGAAAACAAGAAACTGTATGATAAACCATTCGAGAAGATGAAATTTGATGGAACATTGATCCTGACACTGCAGAATCAGCACCTGTGAAATCCAACAAACTATCACAGTTAAGGAAAGGATCAAGCGGAATCGGGGGGGAATCCTGAATTGTCGTTAAAATTTGAAAATTCAGAAACTATTTGTTTACGGGTGAAGGGTCGGGTCTTAAAACTCTCTGTCGCATACTCATCATTGGCAGTCCACTTCCACCTCTATTCTGAGATCCACCCTCGCGTAAAGTAGCAAAATGTGATTCTAGTTCAGAAGGAAGTAAACTAGCGACAGTAGGTCTAGGTGTTGCTGCGTCATCCCGGTCGAATTGAGCCGTGACTCTAGGATGCTGAAAATTAAAACTCATTAGCACTATTCCTTGGAGTTCAACATACGTTGGCGATTACCCTGTTGAAACCATGTGGTTCGAGCTTGAACGATATATAAAGTGTTGCTACAGACAAATAATACTCACCCTAATCTCAACTCCGCCAACCATAGGAGAGGTGGTTCCATCTAACATGCTTGTTAAACTCTCTAGGAACGTCTCAGCGGTACGTCGATTTTCTGATTGAGCCTACAAGAATTATAATAAGAGTGATGCGAACTCCTTACTACCGCAGCGTTGATGAGATTAGCAGGAAATGTTGGATTAACTGCAGGCTGGCGGTTCTAGAACAATAAACTTGTATTAATTAAGACTTAGAGCTCACACCTCTCCCGGCAAGGAGCGCAGGTATTCCGGTAAGTTGATATCCTGAAAATTGAGGAATAAAATTCGAAAAAAAAAAGAATGTCGAACAGCTACGGCGAAATGCACGATGGTGAGTAAAATCGACAAAGGATTGGTTTGTAGTTCTGACATCGCACGGTTCAGCCCATTCACACCAAAACTTCTGCCTATGTTGGTGATTCCAGCATCTATGATCTGTCGATATAGTCTTTCGAATGGATTGCTAGCGTCACGTGCTGAAACTCAGAACAACTAAATTACTGAACATATACATTAACTACAAACCTCTCGCAGTTGTAGCTCTCAGAGAAAAATGATTTTCCAACAAAATTGCGTGTGCCGCAACCACATGCTCCATATTATCTTGGTAACTTCTCACCGCTTCAGTCAAGCGTCGTCGAAGTTCATTATGATCATCATTAAGATCGATCGGACCTATGTAATCAAGGCTAGGAGAATGTGGAGGATACACAACTTCTGGAGCTACGTATGGTCGACCTGGTAAATCCATAGGCTGAGAGGAAGTGTTTGCATCAGAAGTTAAAGCTGCGCCAGTGTCACTTTGTACATTATGGCTCTCCGTCCTATTCTGTAACCCAATAATCGGATCAGTTCTGTTTTGCAGTATTTGATAATCATCCGCAAAACTTTGACGGTTAGGGATATTAGAAGTGCGCATGTGTTCTCCTACAGATGGGATCAGAGGAGCGAGCAAGGAATGCTCGAAAGGCGCCGTGGCACGATTTTCTGGTGCACGAGCAGAAGATGATCTTTCAGAAGGAACGTTATTACCTTCCAGAACACTTGTTGCAGAAGAAGGAACTCGACTTGAACCTCTCTGTGTACCCAGCTGACTAATTTCAAATACGCGCCTTCTACGTTGAGAGTCACTTCCAGTTTCAGAAGATGTTACGTGCGGTGTTGTGATTCCTGTAGTGATAGGGGGTGGTGACTCGATTTGACCATCCACTATGATCGGCCTCCGAGTACCGCCCAACGTTCGGTTGTTATTCGTTGGTCTACCTGAAAGAAAAAAGTTGAAGAACCATACAGTCTTCAATCATACTAGCAGAAAAAAGTGTTTGAGGACGTTGGTACCCTGCAAAGTAATATCATAAAATGAACAACAGACAAGCATGCAAACCTGTTGGAAATAAAGAGATCAAGCCATCAAAGCTAGTAGGTTCTGAAAACAAGAAAATGGGTCAATTATGAATCTTGCTAAAGCTTCACCATTCGTGGTACATCTGAACATGTCGCTAGCTGTCTGATGTCGCGCAGTTTCAATACGGTTAGGGTTATGCGGATCAACGATTTCGAACGAAATTTGTCCCTGAAATATCTTCTGCGTCTAAATAACCGAAAGAGTATACCTGAGATGGATTACTGAATTGAAACACTCTATTTTGCGGGTATAGCCTTCGTGGAAGAGGGTCTTCCAGTTTAACGTTCAATTCAGACAGGATGTGCAATGCATGAGAATACTTATGCAAATTCTTTCGCACATGTTGAGAGTAAACGCACAAAATGTTAGCACGAGGATCAGTCAACAAGTACTTAAATATAAGATTATGAAACTACGAATAAGTGAATCTCACATCTCTTTCCTCTATGTTGAACACATGATGCGAACTTAGGATGTAGTTATATCGCTTGAGATGAGGCTGAAACTTCATGTATTCCTCGTGGAGTTCGTCATGTTTTTTAGCTAGATCAGATGCTAAGGCATGTCTGAACATTTGAAATAAAAGCAAGCTTCTTGGATGTTTTACCGAGCAATATAAGGACTCATGTTTGCGTTCGATTCATTTCCCGGGATTGGATAACTTTGGTATCTACCTTGATAATCTGCTGATTCAGGGTCATTATTTTCATACTCTGAACAAAATAAATCATGTAACTCAATTAGCGTGGATTCGAACCTTGTGTTGGCATGTTAATATCTGAGAAGCTATCCATATTCAGTAAGAAACCACGAGTAACCTTGATGATATTATCGGGAGGCCAATGAGTGGAATCTAATAAACTATCAATCATACTGCAGATTCCATCATCTTTCTGAAAAGGCAATTGTGATCCATCTTAATAACAACCGTGCAACAACCTCTGCGCTTGTGCGGAAAAACCTCATGTATTTCAGAACTCGATCAATAGCTATGATTCTTTCTAAAGCTTGGCTCGGAACATGAGGACAACTAAAAAAAATTTTAGAACAAAAAGTATCGCTTTTACTTCAATGCAGGCATGTTCACAGTTAAACCCGTTGCGGTCATGTCTATTCTCAATCCAGTCCTCACTTCTGCGGGAATTATCGGCAAATCATCTATTGCTCTTCTAACAAGGTCCTGAGAAGAGAAGAAACTCTACTACGCCGCTACAAAAAAGTTTTGCCTGTAATCTTGAGGGCTCTGTTACAGCTCCTCCTCTTGTGAATGTTATAACAGATCGTACAGGTGGAACTAAAACTCTGCGGTTTGTATAGCTCCCACCAGTATTCCTTCTCCGTTGTTGGTTCACTTCATCAGCATACACGGGCATATTATTTCTTGAAAGCAAACTTCATAAGGGAATACAAGAAAAAGAGACTTACACGTGATTCATTTGCTCTACCACATGTATGACAAACCCGTCCTGGACGCCATAATGAGCTAGAGTTTTAGCTTTATCAGAAAGAAATCGCCCCTTAACCATGCTCATTCGTTTTAAGCTAGTTTTTAACGAAAACCTGGAAAAGTAGACGGATTTTTTCCGAACTTATGGATATCCTCTCTGACACTAAGCGTCTAAACTGTTCAACAGTAATCTTAAACAAAAATATAATCGTTATCGTTCATGCCAATGTGCTACCTCTTCAGAAACTTCGAAACTTTCATCCCGCCCAGATATTACCTTCGCTCGAACTTTCATAATATTCTGGAAGCTAGATGATTACGAACCTAATATGAGTTAAAAGTAATCAATATGAAAGAAATATTCAAGTGACTGCATTGGCAGGGCGAACAAACTCGAAATAATAGACTAGAGGCGAAATGTAATGAAGGCATGTTATATGTCAGATTATATCCAATCAATAGCATACAAAGAAAAAGAAAATAGAAAACAAGGCGAGTAGAAGTAGAGGATTGATAGAAGCATGAGAAAAAACCACTGAAAAAAGTGAGATGAGTCGTGGCATCAGAAACTTCAAGGCACCTACGCTTTATCATAACGCTTGAAACTGAGAAGGCCTTCTCTTTCCAGAGGCTTACAAGTTTTTAAGTTCGAATTAGTCTATTCAGATTAGTAAGAGTAAGATATCTCATGAAAAATGGTCGTCAGACCGAAAACATCGAGATACGCAATGAGCAGTTTTAAAATAATGTCCAAAGTGTGGCAGTAGGGTTCTCAATGTTCGGGATCTTTCTTCATATTAATAATTGATCTTGTGTTTCAAGTTTCGGATTTGAGCTTCGAAAGTTTCATTTAGAATGGCCCTATCTGCCTTCCGTCAATTGGGAAAGAAAATTGTCTGTGTCGGGCGTAACTATAAGGATCATGCCTTAGAGCTTGGAAACCCAATACCAAAAAAGCCTATGCTCTTCTTGAAAGTTCGTTATATTCAATTATTTCTCCATTCACAATTGTTCAGTCGACGAATGCTTACATCGAAGAAGGTCAGCAGATTGTCATCCCTCCAGGGTGTGAAAACTTACACCAAGAAGTAGAACTTGGAGTTGTAATAGCGAAAAAAGCTAAGGTTAGAAGGAAAATACGACAAAAATCTCCTTGGAAGTTAAGAATGTTGCCAAAGAGGAAGCTATGTCTTTCGTGGGTGGATATGCTGTAGCTCTAGATATGACCGCCAGAGATTTTCAAGCTAAGCGTGACAGAATCTTCCTAACTTCTCCTAGTTTACAGGACACTGCTAAGAAATCAGGAGCTCCCTGGTTTTTAGCTAAATCTTTCGATACTTCTTGTCCAGTGTCCAAATTTATTCCCAAAGAAGACGTAACGTGACCACTCCATATACCTTATCCAGATATTTTGCAGATTTCTGATCCTCACAACGTTGAAATTTTCTGTCGCATCAATGGTATAGACAAACAACGATGCAATACAAGCATGATGATCTTCGATATTCCCACTTTGATTGAATATGCGACAAAGTTTGTAACTTTGGAAGAAGGCGATCTTCTATTGACCGGGACTCCAGCGGGCGTTTGCAGAGTTTTGTCGAATGATGTTATTGAGTTTGGAATATCAGACGGAATCACATCTACCTTTTCCGTCCAATAAGTTATTATGGATGAAATGACTAGGAATAAAAGCTATTCAAGTATTGAAAATTCAAATTAGTCGAAAGAAATTCAAAAAAACAAAAAAATGGTAGTCAGTGGTATGAACAATCGCTATGTGCGAACTCATTGGTAACAATGTACTATGCAAAAGTTATATTGAGGTTGAGCTGATGTCTCAATTTTGTAAAAGCAGTCATACTTCAAATCATAGAAGCGTAGCCCATTCATCGGCATGTGTGTTTGCATTGAACTCGTTCTACAAATCTGATGAGCTTGACCATCTGCTTTAAGATTAAACGACCCGCACTGATGTTCCAATCACCCGTAGAAATAAACTGGAAATTATATGTAATACTGGTCAAAGTTTAATGTGTGCTTTTCCTTTTTTCCTTCAAATTCCTCACGTCGTAGTGTTACAAAACAGCTTTCGTAATATTATATTTTATAATCTGTACGCACTTTGGCGTCGTTCGGTGCAGCGTTGCGTACCACATTAGTCGAGCCTAGTTGTTGTCTAGTATAGCGGTGTCCATCTCTCGTCCTTGTAGCTTTATAATCGTTGTTTCTTCTTCTTTTTTCTTATTTGTTTATAATAAATTTTAATTTTCTGGATTATTAATTTATTCCATTTGAAATAATCGTGACAATTTTTTTTTAGAAAATGGGGAAGTTATTATCTAAAATTTTTGGAAAGAAGGAAATGAGAATATTGATGTTAGGGCTTGACGCTGCAGGAAAAACAAGTAAGATTTAATTATTTGATGTTTCTTATTTTTCTTCTTCAGCAATATTGTACAAATTAAAACTTGGGCAATCTGTAACAACCATTCCCACAGTTGGTTTCAATGTAGAAACTGTGACTTACAAAAATATAAAATTCAATGTTTGGGTAATTTTGTTTCCTCATTTCAATATGTTTATTTCCAATTTTTTCAGGATGTCGGAGGTCAAGATAAGATTAGACCGTTATGGCGACATTATTATACCGGGACTCAAGCTTTAATATTTGTGTTGGATGCCGCAGATAGAGACAGGTTAGTCATCTTATATTTCTTTGTTTGATATCATTTTGTGCAGAATTGACGAGGCAAGAGTGGAGTTGCACAGAATAATCAACGATCGTGAAATGAAAGATGCCATCATACTAGTATATGCGAATAAACAAGATTTAGCCGATGGTATATTTGCATATTTCATATTAAGTGTTTATCGATTTGTTTAAGCCATGAAGCCTCACGAGATCCAAGATAAGTTGGGCCTTGTTCGGATTAGAGATAGGAATTGGTATGTGCAACCTGCGTGTGCAGCAAACGGCGAAGGACTTACCGAAGGCTTAACATGGCTTTCCAGTAACTGTAAACCATAATGTGAGTTTTCATGTCTATTTAGACATAACTTATTTCAAGTATTTTTGTTTATGCTTAGTTAATGTATTTATACGGATGTGATGCGCATAATTAGGATACATTTAAGGTGTCGGCCATATGAGAAATACTTAGTATGCTTTTTTATTAGGAAATGAATGCTTGTGGTGTAAGACAAAACGCCTCTTCTTTTCCTGTAAGGTATCCCATCAGTCTTATTTTGTTTCTGTGATTTTGCTCGTTTGTATGCTTGACACTGCGATTTTTGTGAATTGTCAACCCGCGACAAAAACCATTTTAGTCCTGAATGCTTCAACAACGTATTTAATAGAACTTTACCTAACAATTATTTTGTACATTCCTCATTTTTTGAACTTTATCTCATTAGAATTAACCAAAACCATTATTGTTTTTCTGATGATATTTTTATTACCGTTGATTGGTGTGATAATTTTTTATGGCGCATCCATTTTGCGAAAATCTTATGTGCCAATTTACATAAATGATTGCAGAATAATAAAATTGTATATAAAAGTATGTTCATTCCCTTTCTGTTATGTAGTTCGCAGTTATCTATGCTAAGTTGGATTTTTTCATTTAATCTTCATAGATGAGGGTCTACGAACTAGAAGATACACAATCACCCGGATCGGAGAAGGAAAATGGTTTGAAGCGATGAAGTCATTTGTTTGGAATTTCTTTTGAATAGGAAGAGAGCTAGCAAGATTCATTGTACTCTACGCTAAAGCTTCTAGCAGAAAACATAAGAAATGGGAGGGAGATGGAGTTCTTATCTGTTACACTAGGGTCGCTATTTTAAAATCTGAGGATGAACGTGAGATCATTTCAAGGTGCGAAGAGAAGCTTTCAACCTACTTACTATGTCATAGGTCAACTTCTATTAAGAATATCGATTTCTTAGAAGACGGGAAGGTAATAATGGTTGGAGGGCTTGAAGTTCAAATTCAAGAGAAGGTTGACTCACCTTCCGAAACTGTTGTTAAAAATACAAATGATAATCCAATCTGGTTTGTTTGATGTCTCTCCTTTTTCTAAACTGCCTTTTGAGTACTCCGATTTCTAAACCGATGAAAAGAACGGCGTCAACTGAATCGAAGGTTAGCAAACTTTATAGAACCTTCTACTTTCTCTCAGTTGGGACCACTGATAAAACGCCCACTCCCTTTCACTAATGGATCGAAAAAAGGTTTTGTGTGTCCTGTTGTGGGCTGGGATGCCGGACAGGAGAAGGTGTTCCAGTAATTCTAGAGCTTGATGAATAGTTTTTTTAGACACAGGCTTACGTTTTGAATGCTAGTGAAGTATCCAAAGGCGCTACTGCGGTCACCGTTGATCCACTTATAAGTCGATTTTTGAGAAAACATCAGCAGGAAGGTGTTCAGTTCATCTATGACCGACTCAAAGTATGGTCCCTATTCAATTTTCAATCGTTTCGTCAAACTAGAACGATGGCGGTGGCTGTATTCTGGCCGATGATATGGGACTGGGAAAGAGTATTCAAACTATTGCATCTACTTGGTCAGTTTTGAAAAGTCAAGTGGGGGTTAGTAGAGTTCGTAACGTAATTATTTTTTCAAGGGAAAAAAGGGGATGGGTGTTCAGAAATGTTTAATCGTTGTTCCATCTTCGCTTGTGAATAACTGGAAAGCGGAGTTTAGGAAATGGTTCAAGACAACTTGTGTCCCGGTAATGGTTTCAAATTCGAAGGCGCCTTCATTTTAAGGTTTTAGGTTAAAATTATTACTAAAGTGCACGATATAAATGTTTATTCTTCCTCCTACAAATGTAATCCTTACATGATCATGAGTTATGAAATGGCTGCCAGGTACAATAACCCAACTATCATCGACGCGTAGTTTTCCAGGTATGCAGAAAAACTTATTCCAATACGGTTTGATATAATGGTATGTGATGAGGCTCATCGTTTGAAGAATATGAAAGGAAAGCTGAGAGAATCCGTAATTGATAGAAAGCAAACAGGCTTCCACTGTTTTTTACCTCCAGCTGTTATCACTTTGTGTCACCAGACGTCTCCTTTTGACTGGCACCCCATTACAAAATGATTTGGAGGAATTTTTCTCGATCCTTGATTTCGCTTGCCCATCAAAGTTTGGTACGTCATCAGAATTCAAGAAAATGTGTAATGAAAGTGACGTAAGATTTACTTGGCTAATAAATTCAACTTATTCTTTCAAGCCAAGGTTGAACGAGCTAATAGAAGACACAATACTGAGAAGATCTTCAGATATAAACAAGGATCACTTGCCAGACAAACGTTTAGCAAATTGAAAGTATGAAACTTAAATGAGCTTTCTAGATGAATACGTTATGTTCTGTGCTCCTTCTAATATCCAGAAAAAAGTTTTTATGGCGTTATGCGATCATATGACTGGAGACCCGTTAGTTTTGATGGATTTAATGAGGAAGCTAGCCAATCATCCAGCTCTCCTATACAAGAAAATAACGAGCACAGAAAAGGTAACCCTTTTTGCAAGGCATTGGAGCAATACGAAAATGACACAACATTAAGGATATGTCAAAATATGCCGTAATTACATCCGCTTTCCCGAAAGAGTTCGGCTCTCGCCCAGCTTCAATTACTGACTCAGGTAAATTAGAAGAATAATACATGAAACATGTATCTTTCTCGTATAGGAAAGCTTAGTGTTCTTCTCGAAATGCTTGGTTGCTTCCGCAAGTTGAATGAGTGTTGTGTTGTAGTCTCAAACTACACCAAGGTTGAATTTTGAAACCGTAAGGTATTATAGAGTTTTTTCAGACTTTGGATATGATTGAAGGGTTGTGTCAGTCAATAGGTCTGACTGTATTAAGGCTCGACGGCTCTGTTGCTCTAGCAGAAAGACAGAAACTTGTGAACGTTTTCAACACTGAAAGAAATCCTAACTATGTTTTTCTTCTCAGCTCAAAAGCTGGTACTCTGTGTCCTAGTATCTCACATGATGAATGAATTTTTAGGTGGAGTTGGCTTAAACTTGATAGCTGCATCTCGACTAATTCTTTTTGATTCTGATTGGAATCCGGCCTGCGATCTTCAGGCCATGGCAAGAATATGGAGAGACGGTCAAACGCGAGCATGTCACATATATCGTTTAGCCACGACGGTAACAGTACCAGTTCCTGTGGAATCATAAGAAACATGTTCAATGCAGGGTACAATTGATGAAAAAATACTTCAACGTCAAATCAAGAAAACGGGTTTAACTGCTGTGCTAGATCTATCCGAGCAAAGTAGTTCTGGTGAGATATCTGTAGACGTGTGTTTTTTTCAAATTTTGTATCAGGAAACGTTACGTTTAGCGATGAAGATCTGTATGATATCTTTAATATTGTGGAAACGAAATGCAATACACACGATTTGTTAGATTGCTTTTGTGGAGGAAATGGATTACTACCAGGAGAACTAGAAGATGGTTTGTTTATACTAAGAAATAACAACCGCTCTCGTCCATTGAAAACTAAAAATGAATTCTCTTTTTGAGCCATCACACGTTTTCTACAATCAAAATTATTCTGATTTTCATTTTTCAAGACATTGATGAAGAGGAGGATGAGAATGAAGAACCATCTGAATCTGAAACATCAGACGACATCTTTGACGAAAATAACTGCAGTGATGCCGGTGAAGTAGTTGACAACGCAGAGAAGGCTGACGACTCGGTAATGGTTAAAAGTTATTGCGAAGAATTGACTCGATTCTCAGGAGGCATCTATGGCAGAGCTCTTCCGTTGGAGGCATTTCTCCCCCGAAAATGCTGAAACTTGGAACATGTTCTGTAATCAAGCCGGTTTACAAACTAACTCTTTAAATGAAATAACCTATGCCTTCAAATTGTCTTCTAATTTTTAGAGAAATTTTTTTCATTGTGAAATGCTTGTATAACTGATGAATTGTTTGAAATTTTATTTGAGAAAATCAGATTTGTTTGTGAAGTTGCTTAAGCACTTTCGAAATATTTGTTCTTTAGGTGATGAACGATATCGTGAAGGAACTATAGCGGTGTGCGTATTGGTCAATGGATGCAACATGGTCGTAATGTTTGCGAGCACTCTGACCATCGCGGTTCCATGGTGTAGCGGTTAGCACTCAGGACTTTGAATCCTGCGACCCGAGTTCAAATCTCGGTGGAACCTTCTCTTTTTTACTTTTTTCCTTCTGCTCGAGTATATAATGAAACACTTGTTTGCCTCGAGTTCAGACAGAACTTTATGTTTAACCTCAGTTTTCTTCAAGTTTGACAAAAAAAATTTAACTGTTCTGATTAAAACTTAACACTAACCGGTATTCTTTATTGTGCCGAAGTTTCTACAACTTTTAACGTTTCCAATTAACAAGTAATTCCAATCTCTATTGTTTCATTTATCGATTGGAAGCTTTCGGAACGTCTCTGAGTTAGCTAGTTCGATTGAATCTGTAGAAAAAACTTTACAGGCTGGATATCGATTGTCAATGTAGCATGTTCGATCTCCTTTCAACTTCTATTATAAGTCGCGTTCGAATTGTCATCCATTTTTAATTTGTGCCACCTCAACTTTTGTGTAATTCTGTCGATTGTCCTTGAAAGAACTACGAAAAAGCTTGTAGTTAATTTGTAGTGTGTGTTGTGTAAGTAACTTCTGCTTTGAACTTCTCAGTCCCATTTATCAAAAAAAAGTTCTTTTTCGTGTTTGCATACAGAACCATGTACAGATTGATAGGCTTATCGCTTTTCTTTTTCTTATAATCGGCAGCACGTCTTTATATGAAACAATTTTTTCTTTTCCCACAACACTAGACCATAAAAGATATATGAATTCTCTTTTCTATATCACTTCTTAGTGTGTGGCCTTATATATTTTATCTTGCGAACACGAACTTCTTCCTTTACATACTCAACTATAGTGTCCTTGACATTCGTATATATCTTGGCTCACTCTAATGTTATGTTTGATGTAGAACTTTCTATTTTCTTAATTAATCAGTTCATTTTCAGGCATGTCTGCCTTAGGTCCAATAGCTGGAGTCCTAGGAGGATGCATGGGTTGTATGGTTGTAGTAGAAAATATAGCAAAGTAAGTTATGATTGTAGATCTCAGCTTTATAGTATATTTTCAAGGCAGCAACCATCGGCGATGAATTTGATGACCTTTGCCACTTTCTTATTTACTGCAGTTCATGGACTCATATTCACATCAAAGTTCTTAACTGTTAGAAACAAAATACCGTTGAAGTATGAGCATTCATTACATAGTTGATACAACTTATTCCATTTCAGAGGCTATATCCCAACGGTTATAACTTTCTTCACTGTGAACGTTATTAATAATCAAGCTCTGAACTTCCATGTTCCAGTACCATTGCACATTATTTTCCGATCTGTAAGTGTTGAATTAAGATTTGTTTCTATTTCTTTGAAGGGTTCTCTATTGGCAAATATGGTTTTGGCCCTGTGTCTAGGAAAACGATATAATACAAGAAAATATCTTGCTGTATTAGCCATAACTGTAGGAATAATCATATGTACATTGGCTTCAAACGGTGTGGAGAAAGACTCTGGAATCTCAATGGAAGAAGCCTCTAAGCATTACCAGGAATGGATGATAGGTTTGAAACTCAAGAGTTCAATGAATACTGTTCTGTTAAAGGGATCGGAATGCTCACCTTTGCATTGATTGCTTCTGCTTATTTAGCTATCGCCCAAGAGCAGATGTACAAAGATTATGGAAAACATCCAACAGAGGCTATGTTTGTTATTGTGAGTTTTATTCCTTGGTTCTCGGTATCATTCATCATTTTCAGCATGCTGTATCTCTTCCTTTCTTCCTGTTAATGGGTTCAGATATTGCATCTTCCGCCGCTACGTTTACTGCTTCTGCTCCATTCTCTCTATTAGGAATAAACTTCCCCATATCAGCTCTTTGGGTAAATTTAGTTTTGAGCTGCTTTTTACAGTAAGTGATGCTCTGTTTATCATCTTAACTCTCATTTTTGCAGATATTTTTGCATTAGATTTGTGTATGAACTGAACTCACGGGTTGATGCTCTTACAGTTACTTTGGTAGTTACCTTAAGGAAATTCCTTTCTTTGATTGTTTCCATCTGGTGGTTCCAAAACCCGTTCACTGGTAAACAAAAAAAATAATATTCCCTTCATCGAATTTTTTTAGAACAACATTGGGTTGGAGCTATTTTAGTTTTTGTAGGAACTTTAGCCTTCGCTGACATTTGGGGAACCAAGGCTGCTAGCAAAGATGATAAGAAAAAGAAACAATAATTCCATTTTTAAAAATAAAGTTTTACCATCCCTTATATTTGGTACAATTCATACAATTGATTGCGATTAGAGCACTTACAGAAAGAAAGGAGAGCCAGAAATGTTTGACCGCGGGTCAAGATAATCATTGGTGATTTATTGATCTAAAGCAAACAAACTAAAAAAATTGTTTACAATAGTTTATAACATCTGGTTGACTTTGATTCAAAATACATGTGTTCTAACTTAGTCTTCAGTCTTTAGTTGACGCCTTCGACTTCAATACTTATAAGAAACCTCTCTACAACACGAGCCCCTGTATACAGCTCCACTCAATTGAGCACCCAGATGAACTGGCTTGTGGTCCTCCTTTCCCTACAGTTTTTAGCATTCTCCAGAAGCGAACCAAGTTTTGAGATTGATTATGAGAATAATCAATTCTTAAAAGATGGCAAGCCGTTCAGGTAGTTACTTATGCCAGTTGAACTAATTGTCTCAACAAATTCAAGATATGTATCTGGTTCGGTACATTACTTCCGAACTCATCCGGACCAATGGGAGGACCGCTTGAAAATGGTTCGTGCAGCTGGTTTGAATGCTATTCAAACATATATACCGTGGAACTTCCATGAACCGCATAAACGGAGGTAAAGTTTCGGTAGTTTCAAACTTTCTGAATTGCACCTAGATACATGTTTGATGGAGCCGGAGATTTCCAAAAGTTCTTCGAGATAGCCCAAGCTAATCAACTGTTTGTCTTGGTGCGACCAGGCCCATACATATGTGCAGAATGGGAAAACGGCGGCCTGCCCTACTGGCTTCTAAACTATCCCAACATGACTATGAGAACATCTAACCCAGAGTATCCTTAACCCATTCCACTATTTATATTGTTCGATTTTTAGTTATATGAGAGAAGCACTTGCATGGTGGGATGTTCTGCTACCGATGATCAAGCCGTATTTGTATAACAATGGAGGACCAGTCATAATGACCCAGGTATGATCGTGCATCCTTAGAACAAGATAGTTTGATTCAGTTAGAGAATGAGTATGGAAGTTACAGCTGCGACAAAGATTATAGAATCGCTCTTAGAGATAAAGCTGTAGAAATACTTGGTGAAAAAGCTGTTCTATACACAAGTACATACGTCAGGGAGTTTTGATATACATAACAGTTTTGAAGCCGACGGGCCAAGCTTGGTAAAATGCGGAATGATTGAAAACGTATTCACAACTGTTGACTTTGGAAGTGTAGAGGAATTGGAAGGAGATAAATATTTTGCTGTGCAAAGAGAAGCTAATAAAGGTGGAAGCCTGTAGGCGATGGTCAGTTCAATCCTGCTATTTAAGGTGGGCCTTTAGTAAACTCGGAATACTACCCGGGTTGGTTTGTACTATGGGGTGACAAAGTCACAGACGTAAACGTAGGTACTACTGCAGCAGATGGTAACATAACTGATTTGTTCGTCTTTTCATGAATATTTTCAGTTGCCAGAATGACGAACTTCTTCTATTCGAGAAACGCATCATTCAATTTTTACATGTTCCATGGTGGAACTAACTTTGGTTTTTGGAATGGCGCAGAGAACTCAGGACCTGTGAGCTTTTTAACTCTAGTTTGGAAATATTTCTTTAGTTGATCACTTCATATGATTACTGGGCACCTATGGCTGAAAATGGGAAGCCCAATGAGAAATTCACGACAGTGCAGAGCGTTATCAAATCCTGGCCAGATTGGGATAATAAACCTACTGATCCGCCAACTCTCAAGTACTTAAGTAATCATCCCTGTTTGTTCCACCTCATTCTTCAGGCCAGCTTTTTACAAACCTAACATACCCTTAACTAAATTCGGTAACATCTTCGACTATTCTGAAAAAATTATCAACAAAACGAGATGTCTCTCAGAAGCAACAACATTTGAAAAGGTAAACATAACGATGGAATAAACGTTCAACGTGTTTAGTTGGAACAACTTTCTGGATATGTTAAATACTCACTCAAATCTCAAAAGTCCTATAAGACTCTCAATGGCACGAATATCAAAGATTTTGGATTCGTGTACGTTGGACGAGACTTCAAGGTAGCTCAACATAGAAGCGCTTTTCATTTACTAGTATCGTTAGGGACGGATATCACCATATTTGGAGGCTCAACGTGTGAATTCTGTTCAAATCAATTCTCAAATAGGAGATGAAATCACTATTCTAGTAGAGAACCAAGGACGGCTTACTTATAAAACCGCGAACGATTACAAGGTATACTCTTTTGCTGAGCATACTAATAAATTTTCAGGGCATTATCGGAGACCTGATTTTGGACAACACTGTATATCCTGGTGATGAAATCACATCGTGTCCTATAGACATTGAAAAACTGCCAACTAATATTAAAAAAACAGCTAATGTTTGTTCGATGATACATCCTCGATTAATTTGTTCTTAAGATAACAAGTAGTTTTGTTCCTGGTGACATATACTATGGAGAGTTCGAAATATCGGAAATTGGAGATACTAATATAGACTTCACTAAATGGGGGAAAGGCGTTGTTTTTATAAACAACATCAACGTTGGTCGTTATTGGAGCTCGTTAGGTCCACAGGTAAGGAAATAGTCTCTCCTGTTGTTCATGAAAAATGTATTTTCTTTCGAAACCAATCATACTAGTAGATTATCGCTTGCGTTCGAAATCAAACTATCTCTGTGCTGAACCTCAGGCTCATATTAACCCATGTTTTGACAACTTGACGAAGAACCGAGAATGAAACGAAGTTGAGTACAAAATTTGTGACCAATCCTATGCACAACCGCTCTTTGATATTCTGCCGCTAGAAATTGATGTTTGGCTGAATGTATACTAGTTTTGGGGGTTCTAAAAATATAGATCATTTGAATAGCGTAGATGTTTCATATTTTTCCTTTTCAGTACTCACTGTATGTACCAGCACCAATTCTCAAGAATAGAAATCAGATCGTCATAGTCGAATTCGAGAAAATCCCGAATAATCCAGTTTGTTTCAACTCATCACTCTCTTGTTACATTGATTTGCTTGATACTGCTATTCCCTACTGATGAATATAATCAATGCAGATATTTGATATCAATAAGCGCGTGTTCAATAATATTAAGTTTTATTATCAAAAAACAGGCACAAAAAAGGCAGGTCATTGATATTATGCGGACTAGGTTGTTGAGTGAGTTATTAAGTGGGTTGACAGGATAAGGAGCAAAATTATTCAGAAAAAGCATGAGCGATGATTGATGATTTTATATAACATCTAATTATGACATCAAAGTGACTAAATGCTAGAGTTGAACTGACCGTCAAGCCAGAAGATCATAAGGGAACACGTGTATTAGATTCATAAAGCTTCTTTAAGCTTCATCATATACGTCGGGCACGTCTGCGAACTTTCTTATCTACTGGTTTCGATTCAATCCTAGACTCTTCCTCCATTGCAGGTACAGGTGTTTCCACAATATCTTCGGGTTCGTCAGGCAGAACTACTTTAGTTTCTTCTACTAGTTCTTGTTGCCCGTCTTGAATAAGATCTTCTTCCTCGGACTGCTCTCCAAGCGCTTGAGCTTGAGAATCATCTTCTCTTTCATCAGATTCTTCTTTCGGTATAACTTCTTTAACCTTCTTTTCTTTCTCTTTCCTCCGACGTGATCGCTCCTTTTGTCTCACTCTTTCCTCTTCTTCTGAATCAGCTGAAGATGCTGAGGAGTTCAACTCAGAGTCACTTGTCATAGATTCATCTTCTTCGGCTAGATGACGATCTTTTTCCTTCTCATACGCTTCTGATAGAACCTGAACAGAAAAGTAGAAAGGTACGGCTGAATATCATTCTCACTTTGAATTCTTTCAGAGCTTTTTCCAGGTCTCCTATGTACTGTTCACTTTGGGAACTTAGTGCAGGCTTTACACTTATTGGTTCTTTTTTCTTCTGGTCTTTCTTCGGTGTTGGCTGCTCCTTAATCAAAACGTTCACGAAGAAGCAAACAAAGGACGAACCGTTGTTTGGTCTATGGAAGTCAAGTCCAAACCTTGGACAGCTTCAAGCTGTTCCAGAATTTTCGTCATCGCTTCTTCAGTTTGTTGAAGTCTTTCTTGAAGACCTCGTAACTTCTTCTTCCCTGCATTAGACTTAATATTAAACAATAGCCTAGACAACCTTACCGAGTTTTCCCGAGAATTGCCCACCGCATTCATCATAGGAGTCAGACTCTTCGCTATCAGATCCATAACTTCTTCTTTTCTTCTTCTTTTTCGACTGCAACATTATGAGTAATATTATAGAAATTGTTTGAGCACAACCTTGAAGAGAGTGTACAGTAAGAAAATTACAACTCCGACTGTGTAAATTGGCAACATCCAAGTGAACATACCACGTCCACCACCCGTAGACTGTTGAGCATCATGCTAAGTGATAAGAGTCAGAAAATGTTCAAATTCCGAACACAAACTTGAGCCGCTGCCATTCTCATAGCCGGATGATCATGACGAGGACCACCACCCGTTCTTGGTCCACCGGGCCCCATTCCGGGATGAATAGGTGGTTTATTAGCATTACTTTTTTGAACATCTTTAGCTCCTGGAAGAACGAACGTTTCTTGCGGATTGGACTGTTAATCTCACCGAAGAAACCCATAATCATAGGGTGGAAGACAGTGGGATATAGCATGGCAAAGCATACAACAATTACTCCAATTACAAGTCCGAGTTTCCATCCTGGAAGAAAAATGTCCATTAATCATACACATGTCGATTCACAAATTATCCTCTTTTCTGATTAAAAAATACGTCATCGAACTAATCCGATTTCTGTTAGACTTGGGGTTACTCATCCTGTTTACCTTTAGCCTAAGCATTCGTAATAATAAGAGTATTTCACACAAAAGTACTGCGTTGTCCAGTGAATATTGCTAGATAAGCACTTATCACCAATAGTAATAATACTTTTCCACATTTATAATTCACTTTTACGAACAGTTTTCATACTTTTGCGCAGTGTTATTTGATTTTTCAAAAAGAGATTGAATCCCTTTGCTCTTTCTTCACTCATTATACTCATTATCTGTTTAATTACTTGAAATTCCTTCATCTTCAAAATCTTCTGAGCGTTTTCTTTTCCGACGGCGTTCTCGACCTCTAGACCGGTCAGTCATTCTGTCTGAAACAAATCGAATGTCCCTTGCGATAAAATTCATCTTTTGCATATTCCAAAACAAAATTAAAAGGAAATAAGGCATATATTACAAGTCATCCTCTAATGAAATCCAAATGTTCATTAGTTGTGCTATGAGAGGAACGGGAGAGAACAATCGGACATATATATATATATATACATATATATATGACTCCAAAGTAGAAAGAACGAGCAGAGATAACGCGTTTTCAAATGATAAATTCGGAAAAAACAGAAAAGGAAGTGATTCTCGTAGAAAGGACTCTGATTTTTGCTTTAAGAAAACGGAAAAGCTTGTTACTGGAAAAATAATTTATAGAACAGCGAGAGAGAGATGTAGAAAGAACAAGGGAAACGAGAAAGTATGAATATCAAAAAGGAAATAAACTAATGAAGACGAGGAGAGAGTGACGTGTGTTATTGGGTGTTCCCTCACGAAAGAGGTTACTTATTCCCCTACTCTCAATTATATGCGCACTATACACTATACTCTCCCTCTGTAATAGCTGAAGACAACCTCCTGCACCCAATCGACAGCCGATCAATAAAGAGTCCCTTTGAGTGTGGCAAAGAGTGGTAGAGAAAGAGAGTGTGTAAACGACACAAGCGTAAAAAGGAAGAAGAATGAGAGAATTAGAGAGAAAAAGAGAGAAAGTGCCATTCATCTTCTCTATTATTCATAAAAGACCTTCTGTTCATAACTTTATTCTGAATATGAAATTCTGCTTAAAAACTTTCAAAGCCACTAATTGTATCGTCAATTTCGGGAAATTCATCCTCTCTAACTGAAAGGTTGCTGAAACTCTGCAAGAAAGCACACTCGATGGATAGCCGTCCTGATGTATAATCGTCTGAGCTCTCTCGATTTGCCCAATGTGTTGTGTCATCATGCGCAGGCAAGGCCAGGCCGCCCAGCTACCTCAGGGGTCGTCTCTTTCGTCTGAATCATGTGGCTCGAGAAAGAAATTGTCGTTTGCTCTGTGGACATTATAATCTCTCGCTAGCAAAAGAAAGTTTCATTTCATCTCTAACACCCACACCATAGGGTATTCCTATTGTCTGCATGATTCAAAGTTTTCTCATTATTCCTAGTTGAAATATGTGGCAAAGATCTCATTCGAGCTGTTCCTTTACTCTGTTCTTGAACCTTTCCTTATCATATATCGATCATACTATGACTAAAAAACTGAACGAAAAATGTACTCGTGACCTCTGATGATATGGTCCAAATGAATATTTGCTATCTGTCTGCCATCACCTTTTGTCACTAGGTTGCAAGCAACAACATGCAATCTTGTTTTCGTTTTGCCTATTTTATGTCCAGCTGGTTCTATCATCTATATGTCTAATCATGCTATTTCGAAACGTCTTTTCTTTTGCTGCAAAATGGCACTACAATCATGGCTGATGACATCAACTTTGGTTTTTAATGAAACCCAGTACGCGAGTTTACGTTAACTTGCCTTCAAGCTCCATACCATACTGGAAGCACTGCTTATGAAGCTATTCTCTTCATTCCATTGTATTCTTTCTCATTGTTTCTATTTCTTAATGGATTTAAAATCCTTTTGTCACTTTTGACTAATGTCTTTTCCTTTTATCCAATTTGCAAGGCCTGATTTGGCTCGTTGAGCGCACTGAATCCCATCGGCTCCAAATTTCCAGTCAACTTAACTTCCAGTGTACTAGCTAAAAAATGAAAGCCTTTCTGCTGTTATTCATTCTTTTTTTGTATAAATGTATGCTCAACCTTTTATCTTTGTAGCCATGGGAGAACACATAGTTCCTTATGACTAAAACTATTAATCACATGTATACATATTAAATTTCCAACTTCGATTCTAATAATATCGTTCTTCATCATCAATCCAATTTTCGCGAAATTATGAATCTCTCAAGTTTGTCTACTCCGTCCAGCTTGCTCACTCTTAAAATGTTCAAACTAATAATGTTTCTCGCTTTCTTAGTTGTTTGATGTTTGTCGTCAAGTTTTCTAAAACTTCAAGTTTCAAAATGTGTTTCAATTTAAGACATGGGGGAGAAAGACTCAACGACTGTTCGTCAACGATATGTTGATAAAGATAAAAAAGCCATGAGCGATGACAGTGATTTGGATCAGATGTTGCAAGATGAAGAGAGGTAACGATTTCATTCTTAAAACTTTCTCTCTAAATTGTTAAAACTTGTTGTTAACAATCAGCGTTTATAGTGATTCTCCACGTGAAGCTGGAAAAGATAAGTCGTAAGTAGCTTGTTGTGTTAATGGTTTCATTGTGTTAATATATTTTCTGTTATTAACATATTATTTATTGTGCTTTTTTAGGATAGACAAATTGACAGAAATGATTCCACAAGATTCAGGGAGTATGGGAGCTTTTGTAGATTCGCTTTTGGATACCTTGCCACCAAGGTAAGATTTGATCGGTTTATTCTAATAGATCTCGAAATGTAGGTGGAAGAATTGGATTGTACGGGGGGTCTTCACCATAATCATGGTATCTTGCTTCACTTTCATAGTCAATCGAGGATTAACATGGCTAATGGGATTGGTTAGTTCTCAGCTTTTCTGCCAGTTTTTTCATATCAATATTACATATTCACCCAAGCTTATCCGATTCCTCTAACTGACTATAGTCCGATCTATTTCAGGTATTCATCATTCAAATTAAGTGTTTCCAAGAAATTATAAGCATTGGTTTGATCGTTTATCGTCTTTACGATTTTCCATGGTTTAGAGCATTATCATGGTACAGTTTCGTCAATTCTTCTTAGTTATTAATCTACTCTGTTCAGGTACTTCTTGTTGACTAGCAACTATTTCTTCTTCGGAGAGAGTCTTATTGATTACTGGGCTATCCTTTTAAGGAAAGATGTGAGTTTCATGATAAAGAACCGAAAATATTTTAATTTTTAGAATTTCCTGCAATTCCTCGTCTCTTATCATAGATTGATTAGCTTTGCTCTATACTGTATAGGCTTCGTATCTTTCGTTTTGTCTCTGCGTAAAGGATATTATATGAGGCAGTTTTCTTTGGTGAGGGATGCTATCCCAAAAATCAATTTGAGTATTTTTTCAGTTTGCTTGGACTCATATTAGCTTGCTTCTCATTGTGAGTCAGTCATTCTTGATCATTAAGAACATTTTCCAAGGACTCATATGGTAAGAAATTATTCATTGACTACTTGCAACGTTCTTTTCTATAGGTTTTTGGCTCCTGTAACAATGATTATCTGTTGTGATGTCATGTCTTACATGTTCGGATTTTTCTGGGGTAAAACTCCTTTGATTAAACTATCTCCTAAAAAGACTTGGGAAGGATTCATTGGAGGAGCTGTGAGTACAGTTCTTTTTGGAATCTTGGTAAGCATCGAAGCAATAATCTTTGAAAACATTGACCTTTTTAAGCTCTCGTATGCTCTTAGTTCTCGTCCTTTCTTCGTTTGCCCAGTTGAAGATTATTATATTGACAATACAAACTGTACTATACCCTCTTCGTTCCAACTACAAGTATTCGACATTCCTCGTCCATTTTCATGGATTTTCAAAGTACTCAGGTAGTGCTTCTTTCGTTTGCATCTCACTTATTTTTCAAATCAGGATGGCACCTCAAATCTCTTTTACACCTTTCATGGTTCATTCCATTGTTATGGCTTTGTTTGCTAGTTTGTTGGGACCTTTTGGAGGATTTTTCGCTAGTGGTTTCAAGAGAGCTTTCAAAATAAAGGTATATATGAAGAATGGACTAAAAAAACAGTCAACATGTCTTCAGGATTTCGGGGATGTTATTCCTGGACATGGAGGATTGATGGATAGATTCGATTGCCAACTTCTCATGGGAACTTTCGTGAATGTATATATTCATTCCTTCATAAGGTAATGATTTGAAATTTTATGGGAACATATAGTCTGTTTTAGAAATCCTGTGCCTGGACGTCTAGTCAGTCAAGTTTTGATGCTACGAACTGAAGAGCAATTAGATGTATTCCATACTCTACAAGATGAACTTTTAAAAGCTGGACTACTCTGAATGCTTCTCCATGTTCTCATGAATGTTCTTTTCGCATCAATTTATACCGATCATCATCATCTCAATAATGGCAGCACGTTTAGTTTTACATTTGCTTTAATGTCGAAAATGAGGGAAGCAAAAGAGGTTTTCCCCTCAAACATGGCTTCTCTATTTATAGATAAAATCTATAGTTTTTCGAAGAAGGATCTAATTTTTCTCATATGTTTCATGCTTAAAAGTTGTTGAGTTTTCCTTTTAATAATTCCACGAACAGATTTTTCCGTGTTGTGACAAAACCCGAGTTGTATATAAACACCACCCTACTCTGCTATATAAAGTTTTTAATAAGTTCAGGATAATAATACCCATGTTCTTGTTACATTTGTATTGGTATTTGTATAAGATTGATATATTTAAGGTTTGTATATTGATTGTTTTAGAGATAAATGAGTTCTGATGATGAGCTTCGAATGTATATGGAACAGGTTAATATATGAGACAACTCTGTTCTTATTGTATTTAGGCGGATGTAATACAAGAACAAATAAGAAACGCTACGGATGACAGGGAAAGAGAAGAGCTCGAAGAAGCTAAACGAGACTTAGAGGAACTCATTGCTCTTCTTAACGAGAATGTTCGAAATCTCGCATTATGCTGATTACAATAAAAACTTTGAGGTAGAAGAAACTACGGCAGATACACCTTCGGAAGAGAATGAAACGGTGCAAGAAGAATTAGACATTGACTATGGTTGATCAAAAAAATTTAAAACTTGTTCTTAATCAAATGGTTCAGATGAATTAGTCGGGTTGAGAGTATCTGCAGCACCTAAAAGATTTGACTTGCCCATATCGCATCATGCTGCCATTGTTCTAGAAGTATTGCCTGGAAAATCAACTGATGATTTGATGGTCAGAAATTATCAAGATTTTGTTCAATTCTCATTTAAGGCCAAAGTACTCTTTAGTGCACCTTTGCTAGCTGCGATGAAGCCGTGTCCCCATTTTTTATCAGGAACGTGTAAATTCAATGAAAAGTGCAGATTCAGTCATGGAGAACTTGTTTCAATGCAAGATTTCGAAGACTATCAAGAGCCTGATTACAGGTGAAGCTATTGGCACTGTTCTTTGTTGAAAAGCAACTATAGTCTACGATCAAGTTGAAAAACAATGCTTTTAATTCCAGTAATTTGCAAGATGGTTCTTTGGTTTTGGTCAGTATTGAAGGAGGTTTATGGGATATTGGGCGAGTTCAAAGTCATGACCACAAAGAGTATGCTGTTAAATTACTGAAAACAGGAAAAGAAATAGGAACGACGATAGAGAAAATCATTCCGCTTGATGCGGAGATAGAAGGTAATCGTTTTTCTAGCATTGCATTTGAAGCAAGTTCATTCAGTTCAAGAAGAGAGAGAAAAAATCGTTGAGCACCATAATACTTCTTGGTCAGAACTCAAAGGACAAACCTGCGGAAATGTCAAAGTAGGAGAGTTAGGAAATTGGACGGGTGGTGGACTTGGGTTGAAGCTTATGCAAAAAATGGGATACAAAATAGGAGAAGTGCGAGACAATCGAGTACAATGAAATTCTTTATATACTCAGGGTCTTGGAAAAAATAGTGATGGGATTGTTCATGCAGTACAAGCGGTGGTTTATAAGAAACGTAGGAATTTTCTTGAAAAAAGGTCTGATCATAAGTATTTCAGAAAAAGGATTGGATACAAAAGCTGATGGGAAACCTGCTGATAAAAATGAATCTACTAAGAAGAGAGTGAAAAAAGCATTGGAACAGAAAAGCATTGGGTTCGATTGCGACATTTTCCAATTCTTGAACAGAAAACTACAAAATGATGAAGCAAATGATACCGCCAAATTGATGAAGGAAGAGCAACAAGAAATGAATAAATGTACAGAAAAGTACGTTATGTTATAATGCTAATCATTCCTAATTATTCCAGAGAAATTGGTATACGGGGACTGGATATCGAGTCGGAAATAAAAGAATTGAGAAGCAAAGAAAAAAAACTACGAGAAGTAAGAAAAACTGGGAAATAATTTTTATTACGATAACAGGGCATA